TGGTAAATGTGTGCTGACTCCACCACCTATGTATTTAACCTAATATTTAGTGTATTACAGGTAGAAATTGACTTAGGTAGGTATTTTTCTCTTAGGTAGATATTAAGAATTTGGTTAATTTCTTAATTGTATGACTATTTCCATTACTGAGACGTTTTTAACATTTAATTTAGGAGGGTTTTCGAAATTTTTATAGGACTGGTTCACAGAGTGAACAGATTCCAGATTTATATATTTTTAAACTGATATTTAATAAATGATTAAAAGAAATTTTAAAGTTGCCATTAGATCCAAAAATACACCCATTATGCTCACTTAAAAACAACTCTAAATCAGTAGGCTGTCACTCTATTAATGCACCACACCGCTACCTCCACTGCACTAATAGTTATACAATAAATTCTACAATCCTAATTTTGTATCGTTATGGAGACCGGTGTTCATACAAAACATTTACTAGGTTGCCGTTTGGTGTGAGCAATAGCGAACAGCACGCACACTCCTTTGCCCCGTCAACCTATATCTAATCTATTTAAAGAGTGACAACCATACTGCACATTGAATTAGGATTCCGTTAAATATCAAATTGATTTATTGTAAACTTGTTTAATCTGTAATAAATGGCATAAAATTGAAATTTTTGTTTAACTGAAATTTTTGTTTAACTGCATCCCTCTGCTATGAATGCAGCAGATGAAATTTTGATCACAGGTAACAAAGTGGCAGTCGAAGAAGTTATCTTTGAAGCCATCGATTCAATGTTAGTGAAAAAGGCTGCTAAGCTGACATCAGGATCAGGTGGACCAACACTAGTAGATTCAGAGTGCTGGCAGCACATCCTGTGTTGTAGTGCATTTAGTAAATCCCAAGAGCTTGTCGCTGAAGCAATTGCCAGATTAGCCAGGCGTGTATGTACAGAAGATGTAGATTTCAAATCAATAGCAGTGCTCACAGCTGGTAGGCTTGTCCCCTTAGATAAATGTCCAGGCCTAAGACCAATTGGTATTGGTAAGATCCTGAGACGGATTATTGGGAAGTGTGTGATGATGGTATTAAAAAAAGATGTTCAGAAGAATGCTGGACCACTTCAAACATGTGCAGGCCATGAAGGGGGGATCGAGGCAGCAATACATGCTATGGCAGAGGTGCACGATGATGAGGACATGGAAGCCATTTTGTTAGTGGATGCTTCCAACGCATTCAACGCTCTCAATAGGACTGCTGCTACCAACAACATGCAATATGTTTGCCCACCACTTGCTAAATATTTTGAGAACACCTACAGAGAACCAACAGACCTTTATGTGGCAAACAGCAAGGGAGTGATCATCAAGAGCTGCGAAGGTTTCACTCAAGGAGACAATATTGCCACTGGTGGATATGCTCTTAGCACCAAGCCACTTATCAACCGCCTGAGAAACATCATCAAACAGGTGTGGTTTGCCGATGATAGTGCTGCTGGAGGGAAATTGGAGGCAGTGTATAAGTGGTGGAAGGAGTTGCTCCAAGTTGGACCTAAGTATGGTTATTTTCCTAACCCATCTAAAAGCATTCTAGTAGTGAAGGACCCTCAGATGATCGACCAGGCCAAGGCATTGTTTGGAGAGTTCAATATGCAAATAACATCAGGCACAAGGCATCTTGGTGCAGTACTTGGCAATACAGGTGTCAAAGATCAGTACATTGCCGATAAGGTCCAAGGGTGGTGCGAAGACATCAAGATGCTAGCTGATATTGCAGAATCTGAGCCTCAAGCAGCCTATTCAGCCTACATCTCTGGCATACAACACTGATGGAAGTTTGTTCAAAGGACTGTTCCTCATATCTCTGAAGCCATGGAGCCGCTAGAACATGAAATAAGACAAAAGCTTCTGCCAAAGATGCTGGGCAGGGAGATTTCAGACTTAGAGAGGGACGTGTTAAGTCTACCAATAAGATTGGGAGGATTGGGCATTGGTAAACCCCACGAGGAATGCCAGTCTGAGTACACAGCTTCCAAGCTACTCACCACCGAGCTTACAAAGGCAATAGTGGACCAACAGGAAGTTTACACTGCATCCAGTAACCTCACCAAATCAGGGAAAGAAATGATAAAAAATTTGAAGAATTCCGAGCTCCAAGCCAAGTTTAACGCTATAGCTGAAAGATGTGGCACCTCCTCTAAGAGAGCACTACTAACAGCAAGAGAAAAGGGAGCGTCCAGTTGGCTTAACACATTGCCACTTCAGCAGTATGGCTACACTCTGAACAAAGAGGAGTTTCGAGACAGTGTCTGCTTACGCTACAGTTGGTGGATACCAAACACTCCCATCACCTGTGGATGTGGGAAAACAAGTGATCTTGACCACCTTCTCACCTGTAAGCTAGGGGGCTACGTGATAATGACCCACAACAACATCAGAGACACAATGGCAAATCTACTTCGTGAGGTATGTCATGATGTAAAAGTTGAACCCCAGCTACAGAAGGTGAATGAGGGTGACTGCCTCAACCCCAAGACTATAACAGGTGACCAAGCTCGGCTTGATGTATCTGCTAGAGGAGTTTGGACTCCATTTGATAAGACCTTTCTTGACATAAGGGTTTCACACCCCAATTGCTTATCAAACAGGACAAAAACTCTTTAAGAAGTATACGAAGAGAACGAGAAAGATAAGAAGGACGAGTACTTGGAGAGAGTGTTGAATGTGGAGAAGGCTACCTTCACCCCGGCTGTATTCCTCACATCTGGAGGAATGTCTAAAGAGTGTAAGCAGTTCGTCAACAGAGTAGCAGACCTCATTGCAAGAAAAAGGAAGGAAAGGTACTGCGATGTAGTAAGACACGTGAGAACTAGGATAAGATTTGCAATGTTGAGAACAACTCTTATTGCTCTACGAGGGTACCGAGGAAAGAAGGTGGACACCAAACGTGAGATTCAGCTATCAGAAGTTTCATACAACCTCATCCCTGCCCCTATAATGGAGTAGATCATGTGTTTTGTTAAAATGTTTTTGAAAAAATTATTAGTAGCAATGAATTGTGCTCTGCCAATTGCAACACTTAAAATTTGATTGTGCTCTGCCAATTGCATCACTTGATTTAATTGAATGTATATATATACTGTTTGACATATTTTTCATCGTTAAAAAAATAAATACTTCATTCTCAAATTAAAATTTAAAAATTCAAAAATATACATTCATTTTATTAAAACTTTCTCACACATACTTTACTCACAGGACAAGACTTGGAATACAGTAGCCTAGGGTAATTTAATTTAGATGTGTGTGACCAGCCAGTTATAATGTTTGGAAAATAATATTTGTGCAGTCAAAGTCTTTTACGGTCCAATCAAGCAGGGCGTGGTTGTCCGCATGGTCATCGTAAACTTGTGCTCCGTCTGGGATTACGTTCAGATATATTAACAGTAGTGTGTCTGGTGTTACTTCAGCTAACTCTGCTTCACTCTGGAGTAAGAAGAAATAGCTGACAATGTCAGTATATGAGTTGGATGCCGGCTTTAAATTCCAGACTTCGTTTATGCTTGTAACTCTGCTAAGCGTCCCATCTATTAGTTCTTCTAACATGCTTAGAGCTTTCTACGGTTACGTATCTTCTTATATAGCTGTTTCCGCTAATAGCACATCTAGCTGTTTACGCATGCCCGGATCATGCTCTTCTTTAGTGCATCCGTAAGTGTTGCTGTAGCCGCTAAGTATCGTCTTCTCCATAATAATAAATATATATGGTCCTCTTATATCTCTTCCCTTGCTATGCAAGCCCTGTCTCTTGTTTATACAATTTTTAACCCGTATATTGGTTAGACTGTGTATTCGTTATGTATTTTATATTATACAGCTTTGTGTACAAGTAATTATTGTTATTTACTGGACTAAGGGGTATACATGTGTTGGAGTTTTTCTCTTATTTTTTTTCTCTTGCTCTGCATGCCCTGATTCTTGTATAAACATGATGTTTGTTTAAATATTGTATATTCTTGTATTGATTGTGGTATTTTGTGGGTCAGATTCAGCAATACCCAATGGGTACTTGCTGAATCACTGTTTTATACACTCTGTAGCCAGTCCCTGTGTTCCGTCCCTTGCCCTGCAAGCCCTGTTTCTTGATTATACAGCATTTATTTATCGTGTATTACATTGTAGTATGTAATAAACATTTGTAGTAGTGTAGGATTGTTTGAATTTCTTTTTGCTAGGTTTTATAATAGTTATTTGTATAATTTGTGATTGTTTCTCCCGGTTTTCTTCCCTTGCGTAGCAAGCCCTGTCTCTTGTAAAAACAACCTCGAAAGATTTGTAGATACACATAGTCTCTACACCTTTACCCTCTGGTCCCTAGGGTCAGCTGATCCCGGGCCAGAGGAAAACTACCGACTGCCAAGGTTTGACGCCTAGGCAGTCGAGACCTCTTATTGAGACCCTTTATAATAATAAATCTATACTGTTACATAATTTAAAAATTATGGCCCCTTATTCTCTTATTGTGGGCAGCGTATGTGTCTTTATTTAAGTGTCCTGATTTAAAAATCATCTGAGTGACTGCATTAAAATAATTTAAGGAGAGTACCATAAAAACGTTAAAACAAAAGGAGTAACAACTAGAACATCTCTCTCTCTCACAACTAGAACATACTACTGTAATATTAATATCAACATTAGAACAAAATACAGTCTGAACCTAATTCTCTTCTCCTACGGTTGAGTATAGAGGAACCATCTTTGGCGTGTATTAGGGACTTAGACCATTACAAATACCCTGCTGTAAGTTTGCAAGGCATGTGGACTAAGTGGGTCGAGAGTACTCGACTTGGAAGTGGGTGTTGAGAATTCTCAACTAAACTAGAAGATAATGACGTCCAGAAGATGAGGCAGTAGATGGAGTAGTAGAGGAGTAACTAGTAGAGGCTGAAGGGGGAGTGATGTCATAAGGAGATGTAGGACATGAAGGGGGATGGAGGTAAAGGAGCACTATAAGTATCAATTCTATGATAGTTCACCGATGGCGATCTGTGCTAAAGATCGGAAGGCAGTGATGCTGTCATCACTACTATCTCTTAAGATAGACCAGCATGGTTGGTCACTAGTGGAGTGCTCTTGAATGGTTTCTCTGTAGGAACAGCAGTACAGTGGACAAGAGAAGATTCGATGGTATTTGTTGTCCAACATCTGACAATTCGCAGTTGTTGGCAACCCTTGCCTTGAATGCTGTGAAGGTGATGTCATGGCCATGCAAGAGAGACATTACTTAAGTGTCTGTGCTCCTGCTTGAATAGCGAGGAAACAACTTTTTGCTCCTCTCATCGATGTTGTCCAGTATCTCACCCGGATTTATTCTAGGGTTCAGTAGGAGATGTTTATTCCAAGTGAAGTCCATAAAGCGGGTTATTTCGTCTTTTGAATAGCTGACAACACCGTTGTGGACACTAGGCAGAAGGTCTATTCTGCTTCTGTTGAGCTCGTTAGACCCCCTTGTCCACGTTCTCCATACCTTCACTGATTGTCCTACTAAATTGGCGTTTGACCCATCATTCATTGTTGAGTATTGAGGATGTTTATGTCAGCAGGTCAATGGACTTTACTTTGCTCCACTTCACTTCTCAATAGAAACTAGTCCGTACCGAATACAGAGAACTCAGAACATCCTGTATGACTAAGTATTAGAAGTTTGTACATTAAGTATTACATTAAGTATTATATTATGCAGTGATGAATGCTTTAATATAAAATGTTAAATTGTCCTTGACAGCATCAAAAATATCAATCACAACCAAAGTTAAGAATAGCCTTAGCGTGAGGCGTGAGCGTAATGTGAGCTAATCATAAAATTCTAAAACAACTATAATTATAACTACATATCATTTTGCGGAACTTTGCTTAAAATTTTGAATTTTAACTCCATTTTAAAACTGAAATTGGTCAATGGAGGGTAAATTTGTTGTGTTCTTATGCTGTTGCCGAGCATAAGCCGGTAAAATCTCTTGAAAAGTGTGTTTCTAGAGCAAAACGCGCAGTTTTGCCTATACTACTAGTACCATAGTTAAGTTTTTCCAAATTGTCCCACATTCAAACACCGATTTGGCGCCCCCCACTCCTTAGATTGGGCCATTTCAGCGGGTCGGCGCGGCAGGGCCTTTCGTTGAGCCACTGTGTTAATGCGCCCGTGCACGTTCAAACATTCTAGATGACCACAGGCTTTCTAGTACATATTATATATATTGCAGGGTGTTCACCAAACATTTGTATGGTATTAAACATTTGTAGGTTAATTTACAAAGGAGCAAGCGCTCATTTTCATTGGCTGGATATACAGAGATGGATGGCATTCATTCAAAATCAACCAAGTCAGATATCAAAACTTTAACATATTTCTCAAAATTTCGAATATTGTGAGGCAACATTCACGGCAACATATGTGGAGAATATTTATTATTTTCCCCTATACTAGTTTGGACCAATTACTGCGGTAAAGAAAAAAACCTGATATAGAGAAGTTCACATGATCCAAATCCCCAGTATCTGTAGACTCTCAGATAAGGCATGGTATATAGAGGGTTGACTGTAAAAGAATACCTTATGTACCACAACCTGTATTATATTGTCTCCATAATCTACAAGTGCCTTTTTTTCTTGAAATAAGAATATCTAAATACTACACTGTACATCTAAATTATCATCTGGATTCTTGATGAGCTAAGTATTCTTTTCATGCTTTTTTAATTTTGAAGAAAAATGTTAGAAAATCAGAATGATCATTGACAAGGCAGAGACACTACAGATACAATATGGTATGATCACCTTGATAATTTGTTACATATCCTGTAATTATGTGCACATTATATATACTTTGCCTTGGTTTCAGTAAAAAAGTAGCTGACAGTTTTAAGATTGACTGCCTAGCCTCTAATCTGATATATTTGTATCTATTTTTAAATTACATGTAAGTTGAAAAGAGATACAAATATATATTTATACACTGTTACATGTTTCAGGCGATAGAACTTATAATAATTTGTATTGTGTATGTGACACAAATAAAAGTTTATGCTAATAAATAGATATTCCTGTATAGCTTCATTTTAAACGGATCATAAAAAACTGTGGCATTTTGTTGTAAATATTGAAACTTTAATGCTAGCTTAAAAACTTTTATTAAAGCAAAACTAACAGCATATTTTTAGGAATGTGTTTTGTGTGTGGACAAGTGAAATGAACAGACGGCTAACAAGAATTAACAGGAATTTATCGACCTTCTAAAACTACAAACATGATGAACCATCAAGACATATTTTCTGGTTTGTTTGGGGGTGTTGGAGGTCTCTTTTCATCAGCAGAGGCAATGCTTCATCAGGCATTCCATCCCAAAAGGTATGTTTCGTTACACAAACGTATTGAAAATTATTGCTTTTTACTTCCTAATACGTTTACGTCGGCCGAGTAGCGCAGTTGGTAAAAACGCCAGTTTAAGCCGTGCTGCTATCCTAGAGGTTGCGAGTTGGATCCCCGTTAGGGGGGCAGTTCTCAACATATTATAACCAAAAAGGAACGACCGATCACCAAAGCATGGTGTTGCTTAGCACAAAATGGTACGCAGCCTAGGCCTTGGAAACAAATAAATTGTTGGAAGCTGTGATGGGCTCCTCGTGCAGAAATGCATGAATATCTTCCTCCTCGCTTACACTTGTGTGAGCTTGGAGAGGCATCATGAGCGGGCGTTGCCAGGTAGCTGGCTATCCCGTGAATGGAAGCTTGTATATAAAATATGTTTATGTCCTAAAACTCGGAAGTTTTGCTGTTGTTATATTACTAGTATTCAATCTAGAGGCTTTAAAAACATCTTCTTTCTCAGTGACGACATAACAGTGTCTTTGGAAATAACTTTAAGCGATGTATATCTTGGAAAGAAGAAATCAGTTGTTCTCGATCGTAAGGTATTTTACTTAATATTGAGCAACAAATATAATAAAATTAAAAATTACAGTCAAGTATATACCCTGATATTAACATTCTCCCATGAGTGCTGGTGAATCGAATTTAACTATTATAAATTAGCATCAGTTTGTTATAGGTAACAAAAGTTCATAGTATGTAATTATTTTACTGCCGATTTCCACCGAAAGAAATACGATTTAACATATTGCCCTCTCAGAAGGGTTGTGGAGGATGTAGAGGAGCAGGGAGAGTCATGACACCCTGCAGAGCTTGTCAAGGTCAGGGTATCTCAATGGCTGCCATTCAACCATTTCCAGGATATATTCAGCAGGTTATCTTTCAATTTGATTTTATGAACTTTAAGTACTATTGGAAATTGAAAGTTTAAATATTCATGAATCTGGATATTTTGTTCAATATATAGACATAAGTCAACTATAAACAGGATATTATGATATTTATTAGCTGATGTACTCTAATTATCAAAGTATTAATATTCTGGCAAATCCGTCCAGGTCGCCCAGGAATGTCAGCTATGTAGAGGTACAGGTTATGCAGGGAGGGGAAACTGTCCCACTTGTCATGGACAAGGAGCCATGGTGGAGAAACGCCAGGTGGACGTCAGAGTGCCCAGGGATTGTAAAAAGAACCATGAGCTTGTATTCGACGGTTTAGGTGAGCAATGCAACATAAAGTGATATAAGACTAAGAACTAAAACTGTGACGTTTTTTACTTTGGATACGGAACCTCTCCAAAACCCTGATTTTCAGGACACCATCTGCCGGGAGAGGAGTCAGGCGATGCTGTTGTGGTGTTGCGCGTACAAGATCACCCCTTCTTCACGCGCCGTGGTGCGCACTTATTTGTGGAAAAAGAAATCTCCTTGACGGAGGCCCTTTGTGGGGTTGAAGTAGTTGTGAATACTTTGGACGGCAGATCTTTACTGGTGAGTTCTGAAGAACTGATTAATGTTGCCTGCCTGGTCAAATTATTTAAACTATTAAGTACAAATGTTAAACGCCATTAAAAGTGCCAGATGTACTATGCCTAGTAATGAATGTATCTTTTAAGTTTATTGCTACACTTTTTAGTTTGCATTAGTTACTGTAAGGTGGATAACATTTCATAGTATATGTGAAGGTAATGTGAAGTATATATGGAGGTAATGTGAACTCGTTCGATTGCTAAAATCTAAAAACTGTACTTGAGAAATAAGTATTGCGCGATTACATCCGATAGATAATTTTCTTGTACATAAAAATTCGAATCAGTTTACAAATATCAGGTAAATAATAAATAGCTTCTGTAACTACTGACTTTTAAAACTAACATAAATGATTTTTGCTCCTATTAAACAGCATTAGACAGGATCTTTGCCAAAAATGGTTAAGAATTTCATGTTATCTGCCAAAATCGTTTAAACTTGCTTCACAAATGAGTAATGACCATCTTATTCCTATGCAGTATGCCATTTATTTTGAGATTTGATAACTTGAAAATGGAAACATGGTGGTTTTAAAATTTACTTTAGCTGTAAGAAACGCTATTTTCAGATCCGAAACAACCCTAGTGCGATGATAAAACCATCTTCAATACGCGTGGTCGAGAGTGAGGGGATGCCGGTGCGGATAAACCGCTCTCAAAACCTTACTTACGGCAACCTCTACATCAAGTTTAAGGTCAAATTCCCCGAGTCTCTGGACCATGAAACCTGTGAGAAGTTAAAGTGTTTAATGACCGCCAGTCCACCCATAGAAATAGATCGGTGAGTTAAAAGTTTTTATTTACTGTCGCAAATTTATCCTATATTTGAAATAGAAAACATAGCTCCACATGGTGACTGAGAGGATATTGTTTACTGGTTACCATTCGGACGCAGCATTTTATAAATAGAGGTGGCAAAATACATGTGAATTATTCATCAACCCGATCAAATCCAAGTCTTGACCTTCGACATAGCAAGCAACATACCACCATATGATTTATTTAAAGTTGGAACACCTTTATCTCTGGTTAAACAATATTTAGGCAATGTTATGATAGGACTATAAAATTATTCTCATCATAACTCATAATGGAATTTTGGAAGATATTTCGATTTATTTGACAAATAATTCAGTTTATTTTCGTTAATCAATTCTTGATCCGAATTGTTGGACATGGCAAAAATTGGGATATATAAACAGAATGAAACATACTGAATCCTGACATTAATCTTTGTGTAGGAGTAGAGAAGACGTGGAAGAAGTAAGGTTAGACGAATTCGACACTACAGTATCCAGGAATCCGCTCGATGAGGAATCAGATGATGATTACAGCTTCGGTGAGGGTATTCAATGTGTTCACCAATAAGAACAGTGTTAACAGTGTCCACCAATAAGAACAGCGTTAACAGACACCTTCCCGATACAATCAATGCGCGTCACATATCTGCACGTGCAAAAACAATTCACTCTGTGCACTCCTTTCTTAGCGCCATCTTAGTAAAGTTCGAGTTAACTTGTGACAGTAGTCTTAATGTGGCAAGAGTGAACATTGAACAGCCCCTGCAGCCTGCCATTACGTAATGATTCTAGGCTAATCAAGACACCAACGTTTCTATCAACGTGGTAAATTCTCGCTTATTCTCCTAAAATGCGTATTTCAATTTAATGGTGTATCTGCTACTATTATCACTGTCAATTGCGTCAATTGAAATCTATTTATTAAGGAAAGATAATCATCTACAGTAACTTCTTCTTTCTCCTAATTAACCTTGTGTCAGCTTCTTGACGGCATATTTTCATACTTTGAGTAGAGATGGGTTTTATTTGAATGAATTTTTACCTTAACTTTTCCATCCATTCTGTTAGAATAAGCATTTCTTAGGAGGTATCTTGATGTTTAAATCACTTATATTTCTGAGATGGAAGTAATTAAATGATTTACTAACATTGGACTGATCGCCGAATTCAGTATTTTCTTTTTCTTTTTTAGGGCCTCAGATTTATATTCTTACACACGATGCCTTTGTAAAGCAGTATCCATATTTGAATTTTTTGCTAATTTGAATCGTTTAAATATTTGGGTGTCCTATGTGGCGACAATGCAAATGGATAAATTACGATTTGTCCATCTCATTTTGACATTTTGGTCTCTATTAACCTGCCAGATTAAACTTTACCTAATTAGATAAATCCAAATAAGGAAAGTAAGTCAAATGGTGTTTTAGAAATTTCCAAGTCTTGAAATGTACACATTTTTAAAGGATCAACTGAATTTGTTCATTTAATCTAGCCATTAAATTATCAGGAATTATACGATCGCGATGAAGGGCAACCATAAAAATGTTTTAAAGATGTTAATATTTAATTGTATTCTTTTCAAAACATGAAATGGCCGATGAACAAAAAATGTTTCGCTTATTATCGATTTCTTTCAAAATTATTTGCCAAATATTTGATATATTCAAAAAATGTCTCTTATTGAACAGAGTAAAAGATAGAATTTCTCAAACGAAATGAAAAAGGTGAAAATGTTTTATTGAGCAAACTTGTACATTTTACACGTGACACGTGACTTATCCAGACTAGATTTCAGACATGTTATTAAACAACAGAATACCTAAAGTTGGTATGTAGTATGTACGGTGTCTGAAACCCAAACGCTGTATAATTAATCTCGCTAACTTCCCTTGCTTACCTCAGCCCCCGCATGACAGAACCACTCAAGTTACTCGTATGTTGTACCGGAAGTGTGGCTGCTATAAAAATACCCCTACTTCTCCAACAACTCAAAGATATTATTCCCGGATTATCGATAAAGCTTGTAGCCACTCAAAATTCACTTCACTTTTTTGATACGACAAGTTTACCAGAGTCTGTACAACTATACACAGACTCGGATGAATGGGACACATGGAGCAAGATAGGTGACAAAGTGTTGCATATAGAGCTGCGACGCTGGGCTGATATGATGTTGATAGCACCGTGTGATGCGAACACTATGGCTAAAATATCAGGGGGTATCTGCGACAATCTACTCTGTTGTGTGGTGCGTGCCTGGGATCTGGCTAAACCCTTACTTTATTGTCCTGCTATGAACACTGCCATGTGGGAGCACCCCCTAACTGGAAAACAGATAGCGGTATTAGAAGGTTTTGGGTATATTCGACTGGGTCCCATTTCTAAAGTTTTAGCTTGTGGGGATGCAGGATTGGGCGCTATGAGCGAAGTCGCTGACATCGTCAATTCAGTGAAGGATAAAATTGGCAAGGTCAAGTAGTTGGATACGTTGTCTAATTTCATAATGATGCTTGTTAGCGTCGCTGACTAATGAAACATTCGTAACACTGTAATTATTTAATGAGTCGTCAATTTCCATTGTTTCTACTTGAGCTAATACTATTATTTGAAGGTGGTATTCGGTTTTTAAAATTATGAGAGTAACGAAATTGGTTGTTGTCATTTCTGTGATCTGGGAATGAATTTCATCTAGTGAAAAACCATTTAAAATAAAGTTCCATGTTTGTTGCCAAAAAGAACTATCGGTCACACTTCAAGTGAAATATGTTGAAACTTCGTATTTTACGAAATACGCGGCGAATCGCTCTACCCATCTGCGCACGTGAGTTCGTATAGGGTTCTTGTAGATTTCAATAAAGTGTTAGCTTGCACTTAGTTGTCAGTTGCAACTACCGTTGCCTGTATCATGTGTAATACTTTAGTACTTTGTATTGCTCTAACCAGAGCATATGTGCTTGCAGTGGCGCGAAAGCACATGGTTAGGTGAATACGTTGTAGGAGGGTCAGTGGCGCAACAAAGGGCCCCACACACGTCACCATGCTATCAGAGTGGGGCGCTTTTCCCCTAATTCTAAGTTTGTTCCTACGAAAAATCGTCCTACTTGCCAGCAAAATGTACTTGATTAGGCGCCATCTACTTAGGACGTCCGCCAATTTCACAGATTTTCAGACCACCCCCTCCCCCTGTCCGGGTGTGTCCGAATTATCAAAACCACCCCCTCCCCCGGACGTCCGGATTTTCACATTTCAGCTACTTTTAAGAGTACAAATAAAAACAACTCAAATTCATTGGTAATAAAATTCAAAGAGTTGAAATAAAATTCAAAGAGTCAAAATAAATGGGACTTTTTTTGTTAATTCTGCCAAAATTTCCGGATTTTCAGAAACCCTTTTTCAGAAACCCTGTCCGGATTTGTCCGGAATTCCAAAACTTAACCACCCCCTCCCTATATTTGCCGGACGTCCTCAGTAGATGGTCCCTTATTAGATATCCCGACCAACGTACGGCCGACGAGAAAAAAAAAACAAATGTTTTGTTGGGGCACCAAAAATTTCAGTTTTTGCTCGTGATTGCCACCTTACCCATACGAGTATTTACTGCAGGTTCAGTATGGGCTTTATTTTTACCAACACTTCATCCTCTGCTTTAACTATGCTTTAACTACATCATTAACTACAAATTTAATTTCGGAAATCTGCCTTCACACCTTTATTTAATTATATATTCTCAATTCTCATATTCTGGCACACAAACGGCATTACTGTATATTCGATTATTCTAACCTAAATTTGAACGTTCAAGTTTCAACAATTAACTTTACTGCCAGAAACTCACAAATTAGGCTATTTTTGGTTCCGAACGTGAGTCGTGCATGATCCTGTGATAAATGTAAATACGTAAAATGTTCATGTTGCCACTCTGCACCCTCTATAATTGATAATTTATGCTCATACCTTATCGGACCTTATTTGGACGGACATTACTTGAACGGACATAATTATGAACAGACATTAATATGAACGCTAGAAGGCAATCAAAACCATCAAAAATCCGAATTTTTTTCAACTTTTTTTGACGTTTTTTTAATTTTAGCAAATGATTTTTAAATCCATTTTTCATACACTTAACTATACTAAGCAAGAAAAGCAGTCCATAATAAGTAAAAATGTTAAAATATGTGTACATGATCATTATCTAATATCACATATCATCTTCATCAAATGGGTTTTCGTGCAGGGAGATATCCCGGTTTGTCTTTTACTTTATCGAGATGGGTGGTATGGTAGAAGGTATCGTAGCTGACATAAGCCACCGAAGGTCGCCTATACCAAGTGGGAAGCTAGAGATAAAGCTTAAGCTGTACTTTATGCATTCAAGTATTTCTCTAGTAGAGCAGTTGGGATCGTTCATTGCCCGGTACGACTACGAGTTGGACAGACAACCAGTTGTAAGATAAAATGAGGTAGAAGAAGCCGAAGATCAACTTCAAGATAGTGATCATGCAATAATGTGATATTTACAATTCAGATTGTTAAAATTTTATGATACCTTGTTTTTATTGATTCAACGATATAGTTTAGTCTAATGATAGCAATTGAAATTGACTGAAATTAAAAAGTTGTCATATTCTGGACAAAAAGTTCGAAATGGAAAAACTTTTGAAAAAAATTCAACGGACTTTAACTTGGACGGACATTAATTGAACGGACTTTATTTGAACGGACATTAACGTGAACGTTAGGGCCTCCAGCGTTCAAGTAATGTCCGTCCAAATAAGGTCCGATAAGGTAGTCATGGCCCCTCCATTAGAACGGTGCATTCCAATTGGGGTATCGAGATAGACAGGGACCAGGGTCACTGAAATTTCACCAGTCATAAACCGATCATTGATCATTACCAAATGTAACTGTATACTAATACAGTAGAATGCAGCAATGTCAATTTGTTGCTTACACTTTTGAATGCAAGTAAAATCCAATTTAAACGAAAAACTTTAATGAATCAACATTGATTAAAATTGAATTAAAAACATGTGTATTTTTCCCATTTTAAATCTTAAAACATTTTAAAAAATGTCCTCAAATTCGCTGAATTAAAACTGATAACACATCCAATTCTACATTTTCTAGCAAGGAGTGTTTATTTCGAACAGTTCATGTTCATGCTGGTAAATCCCCTAGCATAGCTCTGTCCCCTCGCTCCGTACTGCAGACTCTTCAGCCAGCAGTCTCCAGCAGAAATCCGGTAAGTAAAGGAAACACAGCGAGGCTCTTCCCTACAGAATCCCTCACATTTGCTTACACTGTATCGGTCCGTTGTCAGATGGACCAAGTCAGCTCCCTCGAAATTTGCGTTTGCGTGTGCACATCTGGAACGAGCAGTTTTATATATCAATATGGTTAAAAGTGCCCAATTATGAATCAGAACTTCAATCACAAATTATCATTGCAATCTGACTCCATAAACAATAGGTCATAAACTTACCTGGAAGCTTGCGATGCGGTTGAGGGACACTCCATGTTGAGACTAACAAGGCCGTGCGCAGCGGTCGGTCCTCTGAGTCCACTCTTGCGATGCTTCAGCCAGCAGTCCCTGGAAGATGCCCGGAAAGTGAGAGACACACACCTCTCTGTATCTCGACAGAAAATCTCGCACTGGCCCAATGTGTACGCTGTCCTGTGACCCAAGTCTGCTCCCCAGTAGTCCACGCTGGACTTAGCACAGCTCTGGTCACTCTTGTTGTCGCAGTCCATGTTGGTGCTGATCAGCCCTCCTTTTATAGAAGGACCATGGTTTCCTCCTCTTCGGTACTTGAGCCAGCATGTTCTGGAGGAAGAACTGTAAGTTATAGCTTTGCAGTTATTGACTGCTTTACACACATTTATGCAACTGTCAAAGTTGGGCGCCCTATAATTCCACAAGTCCGCTCCCCAGAAGTCATGGCTGTAGCGGACACAGGAACCAGAACCCTGGTGGATGCAGGCAATCGAAAACAATAAAGATACGTTTGCGATCGCAGACATCTTGAAATAATGATTCATATTAGTCCTGAGGCTGGTTTGAAAGCGAATTTTAAAAATTTCGGTTTCGGGTCCAAAGTAGGCAAATAATTTAATCAGCCTTTCTTATAATTAAGTAAAGATAATTCGCTATAATCTACTAGTACCTCGCAACTGTTCCGTTGATTTTTTTATAGCCGGAATGACTTCCGTTGATTTTCTGCGTTCTTTGCATCAAAAAATAAAATTTTCTAGTTTGATTAGCTAAATGTTGCAGGTTGAAGATAATTTGATGATATAATTTAATTATAATCGTCCTTTTCCTGATTCACGATAACCTTGATTGACCATGTCTCTGGCACAATACCAGACACCAAATTCTAATTCCATAAAAGAGTAGTATTCAAGATGGAGGTCTTCTAGATAATAATACGATATCAACCAATTTTAGCGTAGGTTTTGCCGTATTTTGAATTCAGCCACTTGTCCTTATCGAATCAGGGGTAGTCAACATCATCCAAATGGGAATGCTTCGTCCAGCTCCCAAAATTCAACATTTACGAACTCTGCATACTAAACTACTATTTTAACAATCTTGCAAAATCTCTGTTACAGGACATATTTTAATGTAGCTATAATTCTGAGGTGTAACTTTTTAACGTGTCTATTTAAAATTACCGCTAAAACTAAATAAGGTATTTAAATTGTAGCAATTGCATAATCATACCACATAAATAATCATCATCATGAGTTCTGCTTTAACAAATCAGGCGTAACAAAATTTGTATTTTTATGGTTCATATTTCACAAATTTTAATCATTCAACATCGATCAGCAGACAACCCTGCTCGCATGTTTTAATCTTGATAATGGAAATTTGTTTTGTGTTCTGTGTGTGTGTGTGTGTAAACTGTAATTTGAATGACATGTAATGGTAGAAAATATTTTCAAAATCTCTAAAAATTTCTATTTTGGTGGGCGTAGAAGTTTAGAAATGTGCCTATATTCTACAATGTAACCCAACATTGCTCGATTAGATTGCAATTGGCAGTTCCCAGTTCCACGTATATTTATCACAACTTTAAAGTGCTATCTCTGCCACCCACGATTATTATATCAAAACAAAATGTTCGATTCAGAAAGAATTTAGCAAAATACTGTGATGCTTACGTGGCCACCGACCAAGATTTCCTGCAATCATGATACTAGCCACAACCCTGGATATGGTAATCAGATTTAAATATTAGTACGATTAGACTTGTCTCTTCAGCTGAAAAGACAAATCTAATCGTACTAGTTGTTAGCCAAATTAATAAATTGGAACTGGAAGATAACCTCTAAAATTTACTCCGATTTCAGGTGGTTTCAAAGTTTCTGCGCTTGAAACCATCCGTATAAATGTAATCTCACTGACCATGTTATTTTAGCAAGTTTTCCGGTCCTGGATCTGTATGTCATTGCATGACAGATCTCTGCAGCACAGACCTCTCTGCTAAATCACGGGAAACGTTTCACACTTGGGTGAGACAAGGGACATCTTGGTAAATAATCTGCATGCCTGACTACTAACGATCCTCTAAATTGCCGCGTGACTTTTTCTAGAGCTCTCGTTGGCTGGAGCTAAAGTAGCTATCCTCTCATTGGTCAGAAGGCTCCGATGATGTGGAGTGTCACGTGACCAATGTCTGGACAGCCTGGTCTCTGCAGAGTTGGGGGAATCTTGTTTGTTGTTTTGCAAGATGAAGCTTCTTGCGCTTACTCTCTTACTGTTCGTCTGTGTACTCGGTGAGTTTTCGTGAACATTTTCATTGTGGCTTTAGTTATTGCCCTATTTGTAACAGGGACCATTGGTCCTGTCGAAATGGCCTCCTCGAAATATACTTCTCATCGGTCTGATACTCATTTTGTAAATGAAAACGTGTCAATTGTTAAAGCCGGATTGTGTAATGAAAATAGAAAACTGGATTTAAAAAATTAATGATATAACTTTCTCGTTTCAGGAATAATTTCTGCCGGTAAAAATCGGAAGAGAGGACGTCCTGGAATTGTTAATATCCTCCCTGGGTGTGAAGCCGATGGGTTCGATTGCACGAGAGAAAATCTGAAGGGATGCAAGGGGAGTTCCAACATAAAAGAACTGAGGCAGTATTGCTTCGCTATGAAAGGCCACTCCAGAAGTAAGTTTTAGTTCATCCTGTTCATCACAAAACGGTTTTGCACTGTCAAGCCGTAGTATTTGGCGACCAGCGATCAGTATTTACTATATATATTCACATATTATTATGTTAAAAAGTGATTTAGTCTGATTCTGTGAAATTAATATTTATTATAGTCTGTGGTTGATCTGGTTTGACAAGCATCTCAAACCAAAGCGTTCTTCAGTGATGGAGGAGCTTCAAGACATTTTTGATGGTGAGGAGATGAACAACAGAAAACCGAGAATGATAGAAGCTCTAGATGAAGGCTATGAAAGCCCGGTTTCAATAACTGACGGTACGTTATGTTTTATACAAATTTATATTTCATGTTGGAAATATAACTATTGGTTATTCAGAGATTTACCACCAATTCAATATTCACAATTTATATGCAAACTTAATCTCGATGACTTTTGCTTTGTCCAGGCGCAAGTTGTAGTATTGGAGGCGGTGCTATAATGACGTTTGATGGGTACTCCCACTCTATTACCGCTGGCCCCTGCACCTACGCTCTCACCCTCGACCGATCTATTTCCAAACTGGTCGTTTATGGTGTCTTTGAGTCTTACAGAGGTGGTAAATATGCCAACAGACTGAAAGAGGTCGCTATCTATGTTGATAAAACTTCGTAAGTGCTTGAACTGAATTTCCAATCAGTTTTATTTGTTTAAGCAATTGATTACCCATTTTAGCTAAATTTACCTATCCCATCGCTCGAATATTTGCGCTAGCTCTTTGAGTCTAACAAAATATTGATTAAACTGTTTTCCAGGTTTGTGTTAGGCGAAGATTTCGACATCAACTACCAAGGAATAGGATACGGTGCACCAGCTAGAATAAACAAGAACATGGTTGTCTATCAAGACGAACATTACATCTATGCTGTGGCTGAAGAGTTTGGTGCAATCCTTAGATGGGATCCAGCCGGCCAACTCAAGATAACTGTTGACAGCTCCTACAAGAACCAAGTTATGGGTGAGTTATATGAACATTAAACAGCTCAAACGGAGTCATCATTATTTATTTAGTATAATCATTCCTGTCGCAGCTCAAGAGAGCCGAAATACAATGTTCATAATTCTTCAATGAACATAATGGTTAATCTGAAAACAATAACAATAATCTGATAATTTAAGATGAGCGAGCCGTGACTCCTGAAATTGGGTTAGATGCAGTAACTAAGACAAATGAAAAATATCAGCACGTTTTATAGTCTATTATAGTCTTTCCAACTCCCACATAAATCATAATATTCAAGATATAATGAACAAGTTAAACATTAAACATGATCTTTATCAAGACTGTGTGGCATGTACAAGTTAAACATTAAACATGATCTTTATCAGGACTGTGTGGCATGTTCAATGACGACAGTAGTTCTGCGGGAGAACACAACACTTTAAAACACGCATTCGGAAAAGACGACATGAGCGTGAGTTTTTACTGAAGATACCGAGTTTGGTGTGTGATCGAAAATTATGTTTCTAGGGCATAAAACCACGGGACACAACTGTTATATCCTAATGTGTTGTAAACGGAACAAATGTCCAGTAATAAATAAGAACTCTATCACATTTTGTCCACATATTGTCGGCCCTATTTTTACTGGAAGCACACCTCCAAATAATCTGACCTGCAGGCGAATGACTTTGGAAAAGCCTGGGCTTTATCAGGCTGTTATCACGAGCCTTCTGAAAGAATTGCAGAAAGAGAGAGAAGCTGTGAAAAAGACTTCTTTGAGAATCTGTGTTCTGTTACTCACGCTGCACCTGGCATGGTAAGTTACTCACGCTGCACCTGGCATGGTAAGTTAGCTAAATTATCCTCGCAAAGTTCAAAATATCACCTTTTTTAAACGTGGGATGCCAATTATCAGTCGATGACCAAATTAACGATTAACTGTTTTCGTAAATTCTGAATCTTTCAGGCGGATTGTCTCAGAGATAAAGAGGCAGGAGCGAGATACCAAAAGGTACGTACAAAAAGTGTTGATCGAAGGATCAAATTATATTCTTTACTTTAACCTTCTTAACCGGTATGTTTTCACGATATTGGTATATTTAAAGATATTTTTCCATGCAATGCCTTTTTTGCTGATGTTACACGTGACAAACAATTCCTGATTAATATTATCTACATCCGTGTAGCCGCACAAAAAGATAAAGTTTAATGATTGATAATGATTATTAAATTATTTGCATTATAAATTAGAAATAAACATATTGATATAGTGACTAATATAATACACTCATAGAAGTGTTATAAGAATGAGCTGGAAACTTAGTTTCTGACTCCTAGAAACATCAAATTCTGGTAAAAATGTACTGGGTTTTAAAGATTATACCAGTTACACAGTTTACTTCTCAAATTTGAAGAATTTCCATAAAAAACCTCGTTATCTGACAGGAGTGTGTAACAAATCTCTGCCTCTGCGACGAAATAGATTCTTGTATGTACACTGAAACTCTGAGGATTAGTAACGATTGCTACGATAGAATTGGAAAGAAGATTGATAACGGTAGGCTTTTAGGATTAGATATTTTTAAAACGTGCAGAGGTGATAAATTGTACTTCAAAGCGAGCATACGCCATACAGCATAATTCGATTTTTGAGTGTTGAATTATACATGAAAATTAATCCAAAACTGTTTTTAGCCGACCTGCGAGCATATCTAAACAAGATAGAAATCCAGTCCTTATTGCCACGTGATCACGAAGATGTGCCCACTGAAGAAATAGGACCTGATGATCTGACGAGCAATCACGGGGAACCAAGTGCCTACAATGACTTTAAAGCAGGTGTGTAGACTACACGGGAAACTATTGTAGTTTCTACAGTAAGCTACAGCTTGTGATTTAGCTGTCCCTGGTTATGATTTGTTAACCTCGGAAACAGACAATGTGAGCAACTAAGATTATAATTTTAATAACCTTCTCATCTTCAGCTGCTTCGTGTTATGTTTACGGTCACAATCACATCCAAACATTTGACGGAGTTAACTACCAGAGTGATGCTCACGGTTGTACTTACCCTCTCGCCCTTAGATCTGGTATTCAGGTAACCAAACTGGGTGGAATATTAGGCCCCATATTTATTAAATTATTAACACTAGCTAGAATTATGAAAATTCCTGGAAATTTAATACATCAATCTTATTTTGTTAGTTTGTTATCGCGAGTTAATATTTAGGACTTTGCGGTGTATGGCACCTTCCAAGCGGAGGCGTCGTCCGGTGGTCTAGCTTCCCATTTGGTGTACGTCAGTTTCTTCGACATCAAAAACAGAGTCAGGTTAGTGCTTCAAATTTACAGACTAATAATTATACGGAATTTCTAGGCTAACCCATTTCCGCCTTTAATATTTTGGCATTTCTGGTGTATTGTCACTATAAGTTATAACAAAGATATAAAAGTATGAGAATAATTGGTGGATTGCGATAAACCGTCCGATTCTATTAAAATATGAACCGCTACTTTTTATATCAGTTTATTGTATACATTTAAATGTTTTTAAAAACTATAATTCTTCTGACTAGCCATTAACCAGTACCATTCAGGGTTCAACTAGGTCAGGGACTGGAAGTCAACTACGAAGGAAGATCAGTTCCTCTACCCTACAATAGAGAATTTGTCTCCATCTGGTGAGTGACTGTGTAATTTACTTTTTGTTTAGATTTGGTTCAGTAGTTTAAAAAAAAGCAATTTTTGGTCACGATGGAAAAGGAAAGGATACAGTCTGTGCTAAAATGTTCTGATAAGTTCAAAATGATTTGGCTAAATTATAACTGATTACTGACATAAGTCTCAGCTGTAACCTATATAAATATATATATCAAGAGTTTAAATTCCCAAGTAGTCAGACTGAGCAGGTTGAGCTGTAGTAAAACACAGTACTGAGGCGTTAAAACATTTTCATTACTATCTTCAGTAACATCCTGAATCAGAAACTCGGTTAATATCAGTTCCTACAAAGTGTAACATTGGAAATGAAATGACACAACTAAAAACGATATGAATATTTTTTAAAAACATAACTCTTGTGCCCCAATGCAATAGAAAACATTTAAGATAAATCCAACAATGGAATCCCAAACGGGTCCATGGCATTGAGCCCCAATGGACGTATAGTTCTAAGTTTCTGAATATAACGGTGTTCATCCACTTCTAGAGTTCTTGGGCTACTATTACTGAGAATTGACACTTTATAAGCCTGGTTAAAATTGTCACGTTGTTTCATGTTATGAACTTCTACAAGGTGTTTACCCAAGCTGAATCCGTCGTCGTTTTCTTCAGGGACAAACGTATTGTCCGAAATGAGTTTGTAGTAATGGGCGCGATGTTCGTTTACTCGTGCCCTGAGGGGCTGCACCGTTCTTCCTACATAACACATGTTACAAAGTTGGCAACTGAAGAGGTATACAACATTGTAGCTGACACATGTACCAGTCACTGCTTTGGCTCGCTGTCCATTGACTGTTATTGATGGATGTGGAGATATGATGTTACAGGTACCGCAGTGTCTGCCCCCACATGGTCTTGTGTGAGGTTGGGTTAAGTCATCCGCAAACTGTTTTGCTTTGACTAACTTCCTTCTAAATGATGTTCCAGTACGTCTGACGAATTTGAAGATAGGGCGTGATGTACCGGCTCTAGATGATATTGGGGAGCCTGGGGTGTTTCCACTTGTATGGGAACCAGATAATCCTGAGAAGCTCGTGGTTCTACTGAGTTCTGGTTCCAATCTTTGCACCGATTCTACTAACTCTTGATCACTGCCAAATGTTGAAATAACGCGGACTGCTGGTTCTGGAGACTTTGGTACCAGGACATTGCTGTTTGAGTTGTCCAGTGGTTTGAGACATCTTTCGAAGCCTTTGACCTTTTCACTGATGTTATCTACCATAGTTTTAAATATATATATCCATAGACACAGTGTTTCGTCCTATTAGGACTCATCAGTATGGCTTAAATCATCAGGGTTGGTTTTGCTGATGGCGGGAATCGATCCAGCAACCTTACGATTACTGTCCCGGGACCACGCCATATATATATATATAGCTGTAACCTGCCAGCACTAAGAAACTGCAGCGAAAATATTACAGAATCGTACACTTATAACTTATTATATTGCAATTAGCCTGCTGGTCAGACAAAAAGAAGATACATTTGGTGATCAACAAACGAATTAATAAACAAGCTAAGCTCGGCAACAATAATAGGTTAGAGCACTTCCACCTCTAAGGACGTTTTCATCTGTTTTAGTTATCTCCGACGTGGTATGTGGATGTCCACAGCCATAGTTGTAGTATTCTCCAACAACCCGACCATTGGTTGCTGAGCGCTTCAGATAACCATTAAGAGTGACAGCTGCATCACAGTTACGGTATATTGTGGATGCACAAGTTTTGGCACAAGAGGATTTAGGAGTTACTGGAATGACAGTGTTTCCAGAAATTCCCGTCCCACCAGAAGCTACATATCCCCTGCAAGCAGCAGTTGCTGCCATGTGGAAACTCCCCCAGGTAACGTCCTCTAGAGTATAGTCCTTATAAGCACCGGGAAGTACAGCCCTGTCTATTCTGCCGTCTGTACCAACCCTTACACTTTCCCTCCTCAACAAATCTACTTCTGACTGAACAGAGTCCAGGTCCACTTTCTCTGTCTCTACTATTTCTCTCAGCTCCCTTACCTTTCCAAGTGAGGTGGTGTTAACAGAGTTGATGTTGTTGTTTAGACTGTTCTGTGATGACTGTGTGATGTTTAAACTTTTAAAGAGTCTGCTAATTTGTCAGCAGTTTTATTTAGCTTCCCTTTCAGATAGGAAATCGCATCCTTTAGGTTAGATTGTGTCCTTTCCAGTTCTTCTATTTTAATCTCATTTTCTGTTACCTTACTCGGGGATATTATAGCGGGTTAATTTATGACTGGGAAAATTAATGACCGGGAAAAATATGGCGGAATTTTCCAAAACCCACCAAGCATCAAAATGTATTACTTAAGTTTACCTTACTCGGGAACATTATAGCGGGTTAATTTATGACTGGGAAAATTAATGACCGGGAAAAATATGGTGGAATTTTCCAAAACCCACCACTTTATCCCAGTCATAATATTCCCGAGTAAGGTAGTTTCTCATTTTGCCGGTCGTTCTCTGTTTCGAGCTCTGTACGGAGATCTGCAATATTTTGCCGAATTGTTGAATTTTGTAAGGTTATTGTAGCCTTGTGTAGACTGGCCATTTGTAGTAATTTATCGTCAAGATTATCCTCTAAGCAAGTTGCATCTTTTAAGGATTCACAACATTCCGTTAAGATCAAGAACGCTAGGAAAATTACTGGTACTAGAAAACTGGTAATCTTGTCAAGTATTGGTTTGGACGCTGAACAGAGCTTTATACATGTTTAGACTATACATACCAGTTCAGTAGTATTAATGTTTTTAAACAAAGTTGGGGGGGGGGGGGGCCAACCATATTAAAGTATATTAAAGTATATCCCCGGGTCAAAATCGGAAAAAATCCTACATTTTAATATACTTTAATATACCTACAATTAGAAGATTTATATTCTTCGTTAAGATTTACATGATGAACTATATTTTTCACTCAGATTCGCAAGATAAGCCTGTTTTAGGACTAGTACATGAATTTCCATCCAGATTGGTCAAAAATTGGCTGAGCTATGAGCTTTAAAAAATATGCCCATATTTGGGCATACGCTTTTGCCCAAATTCGCTTTTGCCCAAATTCGATAAAATTTCAATATTTTTTAATGAGACTAACTCTATATGAAAGATATAACTCAGTGTTTGTTGAATATAGTGGATACTAAGTAAAAAGACCTCCATGAACAAAATTGGGAAAATTGCACATAATATCTCGGTTCGGAATACTAGCCAAAATGACTTCATTAAAATTGAAATAACTCCATCAGTTTTCAATATTTTTTCAAGAACTTTTTGGAATCGATTAAGAATTGCATTGCAAGCTTATTTTAGGGCAACAATTTTTGATGTAGGCCTCCAAGGAGATAGGGATATATTAAAGTATATTAAAGTATATTAAAGTATATTAAAGTATATCCCCGGGTCAAAATCGGGAAAAATCCTACATTTTAATATACTTTAATATGGTTGGCCCCCCCCCCCCCCAAAGTTACAACGTTAATTATTAGAGATTTGAAGTGAAATGGATGGATAAACGATGTTGTCTAGACAACAGCTGTGGGCGTGATAAAAGTTACAACTTTGTTGAGAAAAGCTGGGAAAGGATGGAGCTGAAATAAAATGTTGTCCAACGCAAGGATATTTATTATATTAAGACCATTTGGAGCTGATAGAGTTTGGGCGGAACGTTGGGGATCATAAATATACCGTAAACTTTATCGAAGGTTAATTCTACCACTCCTTTATAAAGTTAGAAGCAGCACCATTTCCGCATGATAATTATGCCCGGGTGCAGGTAGAGTATTTTAGCGGGTCAAAAATAATTTTTTTTCAAGATGCAGGATTTAGGTGTTTGTAGATAGGGCTAAATATATTTACATAATTGTAAGTGAATTATCAAATCATTTATCGTATATTAAGACGGCAGATCATTCACCAGACGAGGTTTATCTCTAGTCTGGGCAAAGGTTTAGAGATAAATAAAACCATGCACAATGTACACTGCATATTATTTGGGCTTCAGACAACGGTCATTAATCGTGTCATTCCGTACGAGGCAAAGGGCGAGAAGAAAGGTAGCCACATCACGTGACAGGTAAACATATTGTCACGTGACAGGTAAACACATTGTCACGTGATATGTTTATAAGAAGCCACCTTGAGAACCATATAATTCACAGTCTTAACCTAATTCACTTACCAGGCACAACAGCGAAACAAACCAGATTTATATCTACGATCACGATGTTGGAGTGCTGGTGCGGTGGGACGGAGAGTCCGTGGTGACAATCAGTGTGGATGACCGTTACCATGGAAACACTAAGGGTATGTACAATTAGCTAATCAACAACACATGCCTTATCAGTTATCACAATAATGTTTTCTGGTAACTGAGGAAACTTATCTGTAACCAAGTCACCAAGTATCCATAACTGGGCATTATTTTCACGGGAAGACCTTCACCGTGCATAATATTAACTGTATCCATTATTCAGGCCCCAGGGTAATGATCTTAGAAATAAAATAATTCTGGATAAGTTTCAAATTTTGTAACGATTAGCTCAGACTTCTTTACTTCTTCCAGCACGAATAACACTGTTTTTTAATTGGTGACATTTCTAATTCTCATGCTTAATATCGTGTTAATTGTTGATTGTTAAATATAAATCCCAGGATTGTGCGGTACATATAATGGAGATGATGATGACGAGATCAATCTGCTGAAGGATACCCGGCTTACACCGGACACTTTCCAAGTCATGGTCCAGGTTTGCTGAGTATTATTTTCTAACTCATTACGTGAGGAAGTACTTGACAGCTGGTACTGCCCGACACCAGATATGTTTTTTAGGTTTGTTTTCGTTGTAGTTTTAATAATGGTGGATAATTGTTATTTTCTCTGTTCCTGACAACCCTCATGACCCTAGGAGTGGAAATTGCCGAGCTGTGGATTTAACGCCGACAATTACGCTGACCCCGCCACGTGCACTCCTTCGCTTGAGGACTGGAGTAAGTGCTACGTAGCTCTCACCAACGTTAAGTTCAGTTTCTGTGTCACCGACCTTCCTCCTATAAACTTCATTGACCGTTGCAAGCAGGTAGGTTCTCATTTTAACATCCTTAGTAATAACCCTTGCTTACAAAGTTACCCACTGTACTTGTAGAACATTCGCCTTAACAAAGCTAATATTATGCTAATATTAACTGTTTTGACCCCTCTGCCTCATTCCTTGCTCAGGACCTGTGTAGATGTGTAAATGACGAGGAGTGCAAGTGTGAGATTGTCAGTGCTTACGCCTCAATGTGTGAAGACGCTATCGGCAATGCCCTCGCTCCATGGAGATCTGCCGATTTTTGCCGTAAGTTGAGGCTGATTTTTCAGTATGTTGTTTATTTGACCATGCTTTTATTTATTTGATTATGCCCACGATCTCTCTACTCTCATAGTCGTTTCATCGAATCGGGCTCATTTTATGCAACATAACTCCACCCAAACACATTTTTCAAGAAAAGACAACTTTTGAATGCAAATGTTATACTTTACGATTATATCGTGAATTTGCCAAGCACTATCATCATCATGTTCGATATTCTGAAAAAATGAACAAATCTACCACCATGATAAAACAAGGTCGGTGTCCGTCAAGAAAGTTAAATTCTTAGGAACTCCAAACATTTGGCACGCGTAACCACTGCCACTGCTTCCTTAGTCTTTATCTAGGTCCTCTTTATCAATTATCATTCGCTAAATCATCGTACTCCTGAAAGATAATACAAAGACATTAGCAATCTCAGCTCTTCAGAGGGTAGATACTATGATTTCATGCCCTTAAAACTGACCCTAGTTTAGCAGCTGTAAAGTTATGATCTACAAAATTAAGTGAATATTTTTCTCTATGTAAAATGTTAGTTGGCCTAATCGACGATTAATTTCGTCGCATCTAATTTGGTTTACGACAATTTTATTCAAAAAATTGACTAAATTAAAAATTTGTTGTACAATAATAATTTGGTTCCGAAGGTATTAAACATTTCTACAATCCATAGTAACCACGGTAACCACAGTAAGTAACTTACCTCACTGTTACGATAGACAGTGTGCCCTCCTTTTTGGTCATTCCAATCCTCTTTGCTCGCCGAGACAGTTTCGTCTAGGCCCTCGTTATTCTCCACATCTCCCAGTAACTTCTGAGGAATTAGCGCCAATTAGTCGTGACCCGTGATTTAAGCGGTCTCTTATTTTATTTGTTAGCCATACATGTACTGTATAAGTCTGGGTTGAAAATGGATATCTTCACCAAAAAATGTACAATAAGGCACCAATTGGGTATTAAATGGCCATGCTAGGAGAGTACTTTTAAGAGTACCTGACGGTCAGGACTGCCCGAAGAGACACCAGATATCAACAGTATAGTTGCAATGAGTAACAACATTCTCCCGAGCTTGTCCTCCGTCTCTCCTCCTCCTTCTTTTATACGCTCATCCTACTTGTCCGTGCACCCTTAATATGATTAGTCCGACTATTGGCAACTAGTAGTACTAGTAGTACTATTGGCAACTCGGAAATCAGGTAACGAAGAAAACGTTCATGTGCTAGGGCTAAGAGCAGATTAATTGGAATTGCGACCAAGTCGCTGAAGCGTCGCTGATTAATGGGATTACTGGTAGTAACATGTCAGCACAGGTTTTGCCTGAAATGAAGCTGTTTTATAGAAAGTTGTTCTCACGAACCGACCCCATGAAGAGGTTAATCGCTTGGTACAATATTGATATTAAGAGTCCGACTACTACTACTACTATTAGTACTATTACTACTACTACTATTAGTACTATTAAAAGTAGTACTATTTCTACTACTGCGGTGAATCTTGACGTCACTAATCTACTGAGCTACTGCCCTTACCAATATTGATTTTTATCTAAATTCTATAATTTAACTGGTTAGCTGTGCACAAAGATGTATGTAAAACAAAATATGTAACTGTAAAATAGTTTCCACTGTCGTCAAATTTTTAATGTGAATCTTAAACTCACTCACTCACTCACTCACTCACTCACTCACTCACTCACTCACTCACTCACTCACTCACTCACTCACTCACTCACTCACTCACTCACTCACTCACTCACTCACTCACTCACTCACTCACTCACTCACTCACTCACTCACTCACTCACTCACTCACTCACTCACTCACTCACTCACTCACTCACTCACTCACTCACTCACTCACTCACTCACTCACTCACTCACTCACTCACTCGCTGTTTTTATAATCAATGTTCAAACAAAAAAGGTAAATAATCACTTTGTTTCCAGCACGAGATTTGTGCCTGTTCGGGAATAACGGCTGTAAGCACACCTGTACTTCACCTGGTGTCTGCTCCTGTGATCCTGGTTTCGCTCTCGGAACCGACGGGAAGAGCTGTCTTGTCGTTATAGAGGGTTATGATTAACGAGATATCAGTTGCTGGATTGATAGGATTAGGGTAATGGGGATGAACTGGAATGGAAATGTGAGACTGAGTTCGGGATGGTGTAGATTTTTCTTTTAGTCTATTTAAATTAGGTTATCACTTGTCTAGTAATGCTGCTTTATACCATTATAATAATGCATGCTCTGCAGATATAGTTTTCATCAATAGAATTATCTCATATTGGATTTTGGATTTTGGAGCCATTGCTCAATGTTTTGGCGCCATGATGGCTAGTAATTTAATTTTAGGCTGATTGTACTATCTTCTTTTTATATGAATTTAATGTATAACGATTAATGCGATATTTCTACTCTTCATCTTACAATACACATCATCACGATTTTACCTAGTTCTTTTTAATTTAGGATTCAATTCAAATTTATTATTTCGTTTTTATATGACAGAAGACTGAGAATTAGATATTAGATAACGACTTTTATACTTACAGATTTGTTCATGTTTTAGCCAATTTAAGTGATTCAAATTTTCCGTAAACTTAAAATCTAATTAATAATTAACTCGATCATCACTTACGTCTAATTATATGTTTCTTATCTGGAAATTTCGGCGTCTTATTGTGTTTTATCATAAATTCAAGGAGAGTAAGTCATGATAATTACGCAGGCCTTTGTAAACACCCTTGATTTGACCCTTACATTAAGACAAAGATTTAAAAATTAATAAAGCAAGTAACCAACAATTGGTATAGAATTAGAATAACAATTTTACTTCTTCACTCGGTTATAATCCAACGGGCCTTGTCCTCTGGTAGAGGTAGGTCATGAACTATCTCGGATAGTAAGGTGACCTACACCTGGGTCCTAAACAGACAGGAACGTAGACAGCGATTAGTAGCAGAGAGCTTCCTTAAAAACAGAATACAATTTATCTCCTAAACAGACACCAGAGGGACCCATTAGACCTGATGTAGATATCCGTATAGTGGGTGCCACAAGAAACAAAACAAAAAACTCGCCTCAATCCTTTCCATCTCAATCTAGTTTCATCTCAATACTTTCCATCTCAATCTAGTGCCATCTCGATCCATTCCATCTCAATCTAGTGCCATCTCAATGTAGTGCCACCTCAATATAGTGCCACCTCAGTCCTTTCCATCTCAATCTAGTGCCATCTCAATCTAGTTCCTTCTCAATCCTTTCCATCTCAATCTAGTGCCACCTTAATCTAGTGCCACCTTAATCTAGTGCCACTTCACTATGATCTGAATCAGGTACAGTGTGCTGGCTGCTTCTGACAGTGCTCTTGAACATTTTCTTCTGTTTAATCGACGAGACAAACAGCACAACGTAAACTTTGGGCATGAAAATAACGAGATTCAGCGTAACAGAGATAATGGTGATGACTCCGGCTAGTAGAGAAACCTGAAGGGATATTTTTAGTCCTTTTAATATTATTGATTTTAAGGCTTTTAATCTAACAAGTACTGCAATGAATTAAGCTTTTAATTTTCTTAGCTGAATATATAATTACTAATTAGCAGTTGATATAATGACAATCCTCTCCAGATGGGCGAAAGGCTAAAACTAAAGCATTCGTAGATCTATTACTATTAGATCTAGAGATGGTTCCCATTTCTAACTTCTAAGCCTAACCAGAGCCACTTGCACTCTGCATCATTTACCATGGATAATGGATATGGCAGTATTCAATAATGTTCAACTTGACAGTAAATTGTAAATTAATGTGTTGTTGTGAAACCAGCTTTTTTTGCCGGTACCCTTAAGGGATTTCAAGTCAACTTATAAAATCAAAAAATTCACACACCAAACAATATCTCACTCCCATCGGGCAGAAATTAACCTTTAATAAATCATAGTAAGTAAATGTATAGTCTATAGAATATGCGTATGAAAACTTAGCCTAGTTAAATAAAACCTACTGGTGAGACTTCCTTCACGATTGCTATTCAGCAATGTATGGTCCAAAAATCATCACGGGAAATTATATGAGTAACAATCCCGTTGGCCATACTTCATCAGATCTCAAAAAGTCTGCACTTCGAGTTGCTATACCAAATTTGAAATTCAGCGAAATCACGCACTTTATTCTAAACTCTTAAACTCAGCCCAATTGCACACAAATCAACAAAGAAGATAACAGATTAATCTGAGTTAATTATCTCTTATATGCATTCACTACACTCAAAACTTTTCCGTCGTTAATATAGTGATACTTCGACGGTTCAGCAGATATTTTCTCCTTTAATTGAGCTACAAGTTTTTTATGTGTTGCTTGTTCCTCTCGGTTTCTATCTGGAGCAACGAACCAGCTGTGGTAGGTTGTACAGAGGGACTTTTTCAAATGATTTGCTCTCGAGAGAGCCTCTTTCACTGATTCGTTACTATTCATAGTCACTTTGATTGGCCTCGGCCTACCATCCTCCCGTTTCTTCACACCGATACGATTAGCAGCTACAATATCAGAGTGGTTATTGTGTTGCAAAATCTTGTCCAGTACTTCATCTGCTAAATCAGCGGGGCACGTGGAGTAATCCTCCGGAACTCCGTGGACGATGAAGTTCCTGCTCCGAGCGTCGTCTTGAACAGCAGACTGTACTGCTTTCTTCACTGTCTTCAAAGTTGGAGCTTTATTGTCGCAGTTTTTCCTGGCAATTTCGCTCCATGTCTTCATCTCCGTTTTAATCTCAGTTTGAACAGTCTCCTGCACAGATTTTAGCTGCTCTCTCTGCACTTTTATCAGTTCTGACTTAACATAATCGATGGTACCGGCTGCAGATTTGCATAAAACAATGTTACTGATCAGTGACTTGGTTAAGTTCTCAATGAGTTTTGCCATCGTGTCCTTGTTACATTTCATGAGTGCTGCATGATTCAGTTCCTCAAATTTTTCAATATTGACAGCGTTCTTCGCAGTATTTGCAGTATTGACAGCTTTTAAAACTTTTTCCACTGATGAATGCAAAGCTTCCTCTTGTGTGTGTAGATCTGCTACGTTGAATTCCATTGTCAATTGTACAAAAAACGGGCTGTACAGCACGGTGCTGTGTTAAAGTTGATAAAACAGCTGATAAGAGACGATTTAAACCGTTGCATAAGCTAGATAAAATGATTGCTACTGAATAAGCTAGATAAAATGATTGCTACTGATAAAATGATTGCTACTGATAAACTATCAACTGCTACTGATAAACTATGGCAACTACAATAAAATTGCAAAATAAAATCGATTTGCAAATTAAACCCATGCTTAGCTGTTGTTGAGAAACTTACGTAAAACAAGTAAATTAATTCTATCGAGTACCTGAGTAAATCCTGCCATAGTGAGCATCGCAGGAACGTAGACAGCGATAAGTAGCAGAGAGATCAGTGAGGAGATGAATATGTGCATCGACTCCTTAAAAACAAAATACAATTTATCTCCTTAAAAACAAAATACAATTTATCTCCTTAAAAACAGAATACAATTTATCTCCTTAAAAACAAAATACAATTTATCGATCGATAGTTAAATATAATTATAAATTCAACAAATTTGGCCTTTCGATAACGTAATTTTATCAATAAATTATGAATTAAAAATGTATTATTCGAACAAAGCATACCTTGAAATTATCAGGGAGTTTTCTGCAATCCCATCCCAACATAGAGGAAACCAAAAGTAGAATACCAGCATAAACAATAGAAATCAGCATCAATGTAAAGTTCAGAGGGCCACAAGACTTAGTCACGACGATTGGGTTTTCTAGAGACTCTTCTACATGATTAATACTGAATCTGAAAATAATCAGTTTCATTTACAAGGATACAAGGATACAAGGATACAAGGATACAAAAGTGATAATTATTTTATTGAATTCACAATAGTTATAATTCTGAAATAATTTGATGAGGCTAACATCTTTAACTTTTCTATTCTTCGGAATAACCTAAGCATTTTGACACCACACACAAACCTGAATTTTGCACGGTTCAATAAAGCTTTCAATGAAGTTACTGGCTCACGAATCACAACATTAATTGGTAAAACAATGGTATGGTCTATGAACGTCTAACTCTATTAGTTCAAAGCTGGTGTAAAATCGAGTAAAGGTCCCACTATGCACTATAAGGTGACAATGAAAAATGTTTAGGTATGCACGTAATTTTGATGAACATTTTTTCTATAAACTCTTAACCTTAACCTGGGCAATCAAAGTTTCTTGTTTGATATTGCGTTAATTTTCTATTCTTCTTATTCAAAGAAAGAAGGCTCGGAAATTTTTTTAAATAATTAATTTTTTCTGAGGGGAACAGTTTTAGTATGCAGTAATTTGTATTATTTAAATTCCATATACTGAAGGACCCCTAAAGGACCCCTAAAGGACCCCTAAAGGACCCCTAAAGGACCCCTAAAGGACCCCTAAAGGACCCCTAAAGGACCCCTAAAGGACCCCTAAAGGACCCCTAAAGGACCCCTAAAGGACCCCTAAAGGACCCCTAAAGGACCCCTAAAGGACCCCTAAAGGACCCCTAAAGGACCCCTAAAGGACCCCTAAAGTACCCCTAAAGGACTGAACCCTTTTTTAAACTAGTTTCCCGATGCTCCATGTAGTTGGCCGCACGATTTTGATGTATTATACACTTACTTGTATGAGTCATCTAAAAAGAAACCAAGAACCAGGAGCACAAACAGGGGGATCATGAGAAGCACACATTCCAACATAGTCACCCAATTGTTGACGTAGTCTCTCAGCTTTCTGCCAAACTTTAAGGAGAATTTAAAAACTAGCCTGAAATATTTGAGAAAACTGTGACTTTACAATGAAACCTGCAAATCATCAACCAATTGTTATTTTCGAGCGCTTATTAAGCATCATTGTTATTTGTTTTCATAACTTAATTTGTGATCTAGATTTTAAAAGTTTAATACAATCCAAATGCATGGATACTCCTAGATTCTACACCTTACCATATTCTGAAGGTTTTGACCAGAAGAGGACAAACTGTCAGCATGATAAATATATGGGCAAATATCTGTATTGAAGTACAAATCATATTCTTTGAAGTTGGTTCCGTAGCAATTATCATCGATTCAATGTGCCCTATTAAGATTCCACAAAACATAACACACGATAGATCTCGTCCAGATGAGATTAAGACTCTGGAGTTCCAATACTTGATGTAAATCACTGAAAATTATTTTAAGCTATGATAATGAACCTCAGACTCGCACATCGTAGCTTACAATAATTATTACTCTTAATGACTTGTGAGTTAGAGGACTGCTACACATCGATACCCTTAAATTTGTTTATAAACAAATATTTAAAGCAACCGAAAACAATTTCAACTGCATCAAATTGTAAAAATGATTCTTACCAATTGTGAAAATAAGGACGGCGATGTTTACTGAAGCAATCATCCAGACAGCTTTTCCAGAATTAGTGTTGATATTCAGACTGCCAGCCGGTTGATCACAAGCTGTCTTATCATCATTAACCCACAAGAACGTTCCGCTGGAGACAGAGTCGCACTCTGTGCAGAAAGAATCACTTCCATTCATAGTGTAACTGTTACCGACACAGGGGAGACAGGTCCAACAGTTCAGAAACTTCTGATCCAGAACAGTCTTATGTCCTGTTAGTATTAATGTAAATGTCGATCATTTATGATGTAAGTCACCGCACCGTACTTTCTACAAGGTACTTTCAATAAAGTATCAATTTTAAATGTATGTTTATTGTTTAATGTTGATCAAATAAAACGCTTCTTTAGTTTAAGGTCGATCGTTTTATTTGTACATCGTTCTTTCCATTAGTTGAGCACCTTAAACTTTACAGCTCTCCTCCCCCTAATATGGTATTTCTCATTTGTTAATTAATTTTTCATTGTTGATTTCAAAAATTAAATGCAATGTAGAAGCTGATGTTCACCTTCAGTGCATGTACGGGAACAAGCAAAGAATTGCTCATCAGTTGTGCCAGATATTTCGAATTTGACGTTTTCCATGAAGTTGTCAAATAGCGTGTTGTCCTTACTGGAAGTCCAAACAGTCCTACGTTTACTAACTTCACCTGCAAATCTTTGCTATTATCTATTATTTATCGTCTTAGGGGTCGTTCACATATTAGGTAATCAGCCGAGGGGGGTTTTCCAAATGATGACGCTCGTGTAATTTTGAGCCCTTTTGACACAATAGCTAAGTGTAAAAATGATTACGGAGGGGGGGGGGGGGGGTGATTACGTAATATGTGACCGATCCCTTACCTCAAAATCAACAGGTTTGTAGAAAGAACTTAAATGAATACAACAGGGAGGTTCTGACGTCCCAAAATTGGAGGCAACAGGAATGCTTTGATTAGCAAGAATCGAAAGGGAAGAATATTCAGACTTCTATTCAAAGTTTCACCATCACAACAAATAATGGATATATACAGTTGATCGAATTGACAAACACTTAAAACATTAACCTTTTGCATCGAAGAGAATCTCAAAATCATCTTCCATCAATCCATCTGTATATCTTAGGAAGTTTGTATTCTCAGGCAATGGCACATTATTTTCTGAAATTGGAATGTACGGTATTTCATACCGACTTAACTTAAAGTTAAAGTCTAAGATAAACTGATTCAATTGACTAGACCGTGAGAATGCTTTCCCAAAGGTAGCATACCTTAATCTTACTTTTATTATAAAATATAAGGGAGTTACATCCTTAACAGTTAACGTAAAAATAAATGTTTTAAATTGTTCCATTCTGCTTGGAATTATCGTTAGTAAACTCTTAAACTTATAACTCGTACTTAGAAAGTTTTGTCGAGCCATTTCGCCAACTGAAGAAGTATTGATCATGAGTTCTTTGAAGGTTCTCTTAGAAATGTCAGCTACTTGTTCTGTACTGATGTTTGCCAACGATTTCAATAATTTCCGCACTGTGTAGTATATTCTGTGGTTATACCTGTGGAGTGTGGAGAGTTTAAATTTCATACATGAACAATGAAGAGTAAATAAATATTGTTGGAGCACTTTTTAGGATCAGAACGCGAAAGGTATCGCCCAAGTCAAAACGATGTAACATTGAAGGATATCTGAATCCTAATCCCTGAAGATTAACACACCTTGATTGTAGTGAATTGCCCATGCACATTTCTCCAATAGATTTACAGCCCTCATCTTCTCCTACAACACATGGTTCTAATGTTTTCACCCCGGTGTACCAGTGATCTAGTATCTGAGCAGTAAATTATCATATACTACTACTAGTGTATCCCGTGCCTACGGCCGGGACTTCACTATCGCAGTTGAAGTATACACACACACACACACACACACACACACACACACACACACACACACACACACACACACACACACACACACACACACACACACACACACACACACACACACACACACACACACACACACACACACACACACACACACACACACACACACACACACACACACACACACACACACACACACACACACACACACACACACACACACACACACACACACACACACACACACACACACACACACACACACACACACACACACACACACACACACACACACACACACACACACACACACACACACACACACACACACACACACACACACACACACACACACACACACACACACACACACACACACACACACACACACACACACACACACACACACACACACACACACACACACACACACACACACACACACACACACACACACACACACACACACACACACACACACACACACACACACACACACACACACACACACACACACACACACACACACACACACACACACACACAACTAACCAACCTTGCTAGAGATTTTCATCTCCCTATTCTGTCGGGTGTAAAGTGTATAACTCTCAATGTAGTTCGTTACTTGTGGTGCATCAAATCTTGTCTGACATAACCTAAAATATTTTAATTTTGCTCATTGTTCGGTTACAGCTTTATCATTCTAATAAATCAGCAGCAATGTTAAGAAACTACAGCAATGTTAAGATTAAGGGGACACACCCCAAAACCTTTTTGGTGCCACCCTAAATTTTATTTCATGTTATGAAAGTACGTAAAAAACCATTAAGTTTAGTCACATTCAAAAAATTTTAAATACTCACTCATTCGGAAATATTCACTTCTATCTTTTCTAAAATTTTCAAAATTTGGTCAAGTCTGTCGTTGTTAATTGTAGTACCGATTTCTTAAGCTCAATCAAATAATCCTTTGGAGAGGTTATTGTAAAACAAATTAGCTCAATACCAAATTCATGATATTTGAAGAAATATTGTTTTAAGTAATCTTCTAGTTCGAACACAAGAGTATAAAGTTTGTTTTAATTATGCACATTTTCTTACAATTTTTTTTCCTACAAATATCATGAATTTGTCATTTTTGGATCTTTTTTACATGATAACGAGGTCTGATCGTCATCTTCTTGTCTGTGTGAAGGTAAAATGGTGAAATCCTCTAGACCAGGCAGAGGTCGAGTGTTATCGGGATTACTTCTGTTATCGATGATCTCGCTCTTCGGAGAAGATAAAGGCCTTGCTCAGCAATGGGTAGGGTTTGCAGTTTAGATAGCCACGTGGCACGTTGCAACTAAATTATCCGAGATTCTTCTCGAATAATTTTCAAGACTTGATGTCAATTTATTATCGGAGAAAAAGACGATTTATGAAGGAGCAACCTTACATTCTACCTACTACTCATTTCTCAAGATGTTCGCAACATGATCTTGCTCTACCACTTTGACTTATGTCCCTTAAGCGCTTTTAACTACCGTTCACCGAACTTTGACTGCAGCTTTGTTAACAAGGTTTGGCCGGTAGAGGGTCCGCAGTAGTCCCATTACCTTAGTATTGCTGTATAACTACTACTTTTTTACATGTATTTAAAAAAATCTTTGAAATCTAAATTTCGCACTTTAAAACTCAAAATCGAGAGAAATTCAGTTGCATAAAACTGTTCACGATCATCAACTACACTCACAAACATTTGTGGAACAATATCTCAAGAACTGTTTAATTGGTAGCATGTACAAGTTTTGTCTGTGTCAAAAGTTTTAATTCCGCTTCGTTCGGCTCATTGTAAACGTTAGTATAAAGATTCAATTAAAAAATTAGCTCAATACTTTTAAAATAACTGAGAAATCGGTATAACAACGACAGACTTGACCAAAGTGCATTTTTCCGAATGAGTGAATATTTTTTAAATTTTGAATGTGACTAAACTTAATGTTTTTTTACGTACTTTCATAATAATATAACATGAAATAAAATGTATGCTGTCTCCAATAAAAGTTTAGGTGTATGTCCCCTTAGAACATACCTGAAGACGGAGACATTGTCAGCGGCGATACCTTTAATAATGCTTTCATAATTAATATTATCTGTCTGAGATAACACACATCCACTAGAATCAGCGATGAAGTTGATATTGGACAATCCTTTCTTATTACCCTGGAACGATATTTACTAATATGAAATTGAATGCGATATCTCATCTCATACTTTAGTCAGACAGGATTATATGATTTATCCACTGGAAGTGCCGGATTAACTGGAAGTGCATCAAACTAACGTATCGTAATGCAATAAAGATCGCAGAACGACTCCAAAATAACTATTTAACATTCAAAGGTAAAGGGTTAATTAATGTAGTATGTAACAATAGTACTAGTAGTAGTAGTATGTTTGGGCCATTCATCATTTCAATAAAGCCAGTAAAGCAATGTACTACACCAGATTCAGAAAAAACAATAAATAAATTCCAATTCGTCACACTCTTCGCAGCCTTTTATACTATAGTTTCGTCTGTCTTTAAGCAGTTGTTGTCAGTAGTAGTAGTTTTAAAAAAATAATTTTGCGTAGAGGCTGGGCCTGGGTGGCCCACGAGAGGATAGCATGTGGATGCTTTGCCTACCTCTGGGCCCTGGGGTATGGCAGTCCTATAGGACGATGCCGGAGGAATCAGAATGTATAATGGAGGATGATGGAAGTGTTATGAGATGTGTCGTAAATGAACGCTCAAGTGCTAGCTGGGTGTGGAAGAGAACGGTGAGCTAAGAGAAGTTACTAGTAGTAGTTGTGCAAACTCTTACCGGAAGATCACGAAACAATTTCTTAAGAGAATTCGATGATAGCAATAGCACAACGGTACGGAACCGGCGTTTTTCTGACGTAGGTTCACCCAACTTGCGGACTAGATGGTTGACGACTGAAGAGGTTTATTTTTTTATCTGATAGGAGAGAAAATTGAATAAAGATTTCTTAATTCGAAGCTGTCCAAAACTTTTCCAATTTACACTTGCTGGGCGCTGTACTTCCAATATCGAACGAATGCAAATGTCTTCCAGATTAACAATTCAAATATCACATAAAATATCCACCCACTGAGTCAATGAAATGAAACTATGGCTATTATCAATATTATATATTAAACCGTGTGTGATGTCAGAGGTTCCATTCACCAGAAGATGAAACTTCACGTCGATTTTGTTGGTTCCAAGATCAAGCTTTTGTATAAGCTTAGTGAACTCCGGTTCTTTTTTCTTTTCGTAAAAAATGCTCACAATGTTCGCCCCAAGTTGGTTCAATATGCTAAGGTATATTTCCAGGTTATGATTGTTTATTGTTAATATTAAATCTTTCTGAATTTTAGGTATTTTAAAAGAAAAAAACAGCTGATTTGTGTACTATCCCGTCCATGACACTTTAAAGTTCGATCGATGCGGAAAAATATAATTGCAGGGTAATGGGGATTAAAATTCTGGCAGGTGGGCGGCAAAAAGCTGTATCAGGGTCTGCCCACACTACGCCATGTGGCGACGGGCCACATGGCGTGGGTCAAAAGGCACAGAGCTCCCGCCATGTGGCCCGTCTATCTAAAGTCTAAACACACTGTGCCACTTGGCGTGGATTTAGCAAGGGGAATAGAGGCACGGATTTTAAAAATCCGTGCCTCTATTCCCCTAGAGTTTCCACGCCAACTGGCGGGAGTTCTAAACACACTACGCGCCAATTGTTGTGTGAATCCGGTGACTAGTGGCGGGAGCTCTAAACACACTGTGCCTTTTGACCCACGCCATGTGGCCCGTCGCAACATGGCGTAGTGTGGGCAGACCCTAAGGGGTGGTAAAAAGATGACCTGATCTTGTTTCACTTTCATTTTTGTCTTTTTTAGGACATTAGAAGAAAATATTAAGTGGGCGGCAAACATTTTTAGCGGGGCAGAACATAGGTACGTTTTGCCACTGCAAGGAGCTATTCATAATTTAGCAGTTTTAATCACTGTTAACTTACCTAGGAATGGTGTCAGAAACCTGACTGGATCTTGTTGATGTCATTCTGGTCATAAAGTTCGTGTTTGCTACTTTCAGCACTTCGTCCATTCTGATACTACTCGCAATTGTAAAACTGGGTATTCTATGAAAATGTAATTGTTATCTACCAAAGTTGAAATATATTCTTCAACCATCATTTGAAAAATTACTGGATAGTTTTAAAAATAACGAAAAAATCCAAGTTTGTTACTCCTAAATATAAAATACAGGTCACAGAAAATAAATGAAATAAGCTACATAATACAGGAGGGTGTCCCAAAAAAGACGCCCCAGTTAGAAACCCTCCCCAATTCCTCAATTTTCCTTTAATGGTACTCAATATGTCTTAGTATATTTACCTAAAAGGGTTGGGAGATTTGTTTGTGACTTCTGAAAACTTGAGCAAACTATTTTGAGTCCTCATTTTAAAAATGTCAAAAATTGTCCGAAATAGTCCTCAAATTATGGGCTCGTCCACCATTCGGAGCGCTGAGCCAAGAGGAAAAAACTTTTGTCATGAATTTGATTGCAAACTGTTCCTTTTTGTCTCATCTAACTCTCAAACACCTCAGTTAATGCTAAAAGTCCGAAGAGGTATATGCCTATTTTACAACTTGGGGCAGTCTAAACGTTTCAAAACGAGGATTCCATCATGGACGAAAACTATCACCTTTTCTGGGATGACACCAAAATTTCTTCTTATATCTTTAACGGCCAGGTAGCGCAGTTGGTTAGAACGCCAGCTTTGCAATCGTGAGGTTGCGGGTTCAAATCGCACTGTCTGCCTGGTCGTGGGGTGAGCGTCGTTGACGTTCAGCTAAGGATCCTGAGTGGTATATGCAGCCCCCCGGTCTACTCAGCCGAATACTCGAGAAATTGGGTGTGAGGGTTAAATGAGGAGCTGCACATTGCAGCAAAGTCTCGGGCGAAGAAAGTATGGTACACACTACCTTAACCGTCACTGGCTAAAAACAAATCCTTCGGCTTCCTGTAATTGGCTGGTTGCACTTGTGTAACAATGTGGCTGTTGGAATACTCCGAAGTAAAATAAGTGTCTTGATAAAAACATTGAACAAATTTTGCCCATCAAGTTCATATGAGACTCCCAATGGTCCTAAAAAAGTCTCCTAACCCTTTAGAAAATCATACTAAGAGATCTCAAAACCAATGAGTTAAAACTGAGAAAATTAGGGGGACACCCTGTATATAAAATTATAACACTTACTTGATAGCACTGACAAATGCAGCTGAATGTAAAACAGCTAGATCCCATTTGAAGCCCACCAAAGCAACTATTTTCGGGAACTTTCGAAGTATCTTCATGACCCTGTCTAAGTAGCTCTGATTCTTAACATAGTTGTGGAAATTGAACACTGCATAGCCCACTGTTGCATCTGAGATTTGAACAAATGAGATTTAGAGCAGTTGCCTCTTGTAAAACAGTAAGCTAAATTCTAACTCTAAATAAAAAAGCTCGTCACGGTGGAACTCTATCGCAAATATTTCCACCAATGAATTTAACTGATATGAGGTTTATCTCGTAATTAGCCTCATTGCTAGTTGAAAGTCGTAGTTGAGCGATCATCTATTATACAATGAGTTCCCTCCACTTTGTATCACGATTTTAATTGTAAGTTACACTTATTGTCTGCGTGTAAGACACGAGTGCCTAGAAAGATAACTAAACCTATCAAACTAGTAATATATAATGGTGAAATGTTCATATACTTTTGGGCCAGAAAGTAGACTGGTCTACAGCAGCTTGAAAGGACAAAAGATTTTGCACGTGATACTCGTGTGCCATACGACTGTCGATTATATAGCCGACCAAAATATCACCTGAAAAAAGGCATCGTTAGATTGATAATGTTGAAATTGATTTGCGATGCTAAGAAGTTAGCAGTTGTATCACTATCATATTAAGTTATAACAACAACATCCTAATATGATTCTTGAATCTTGATAATAACGAATACGATCACGACAGGATTAACTTAATCAGCAGTATTTTTAAAATTCTTGGGTGATCTATAAACGAACTCACCGTCGACATAATCAACATCGAGATCAGTGCCCCATTCCAAATCACTGCCGGTATTAGAACTAAAAGTACTAGCTGATGTGACGAGGAGAAATGATAAGACTATTCCAGCAATCATCGGACTTCTGTTATAAAGTGTTATCTTGTCCCCTGGTTAGTAGCAGGTTTCGTCGTCATCAGTTGGCGTCGCTAACTCTAAACTTAGATACAATTATAAATCGAGAAATAACAAGATACAAATAATGATAGCGAGATAGAAAGTCATTCCGAGTTTTAGTACGGTTTCTTAAGCGAGAAAGTTTAACTAAAACTACAAGTATATAGTGTTAACTGTTATCACCTTATTCCCCTTGGTTTTGTCAATGTCTCTTAAGTTTTAACAGATGTTATACTTATAATGTGTCCCTTACTTCACGTCCCTTACTTCACGTCCCTTACTTACGTTAAGTACCTATATTATCATGAGCTGTTGTCTCCTGCAATTCGCTTGAACTTCCTTACAGTTACACTTTTAGGTTTTCTCAATATGTTTAGTATGGTGTACTTGTAGTACCTTATCAAGTTATAGTTCCAATAGGACCCCAGCTTTATCTCGCCTATTTATCGACGAGATATAAAATGCACCTGTTTGAGGTTTCGGTTTACCATTTAATTTTTTATGACAGTTAAAAAATTGTAAAGCATTGTGAGGTAATATGATTAAAATTCATTCGAGATCAAGATTTAGGGGACAAAAAGCAAAAGCGAGCTGAAATACTAATATGACTCACAAAATGGTCAGGATAAAACAACACGAAACTCAGGGGTTACAATAAAATATTGATAAAATATTGATCTCACTAGATGCAAACAGTCTAAAAGTAAATCGGAGTCGGGTTAATTTCAACGGAAAAGTTTGGCAGAAGAAAGCATGTCAACTCAAAACACGCTTGATTGCTTACCAACGATTAATCCTAAAATTCGAAGTTAGACAACTAACCGACTAACCTAATGTTAAATATTTAAGTTAAACGATCAAATATTTTCAGTCTTGCTATTCGTCTTTTCGTCCGCTCCACCTCCTGTTAATTTTCACCGGATCATAGTGTTTGATAATAAAACTTGTGCATGATGAAGTTAAGTGCAACGAAAAGTGTTTATAGTATAAACACCGATTTTCATTTTTACAATGATATGGACTGGGTATAAATTATACCCTCGTCCGTGCAACATACTAATATAGCTCACAGCATCACTCTCTTGTTTTACACGGGTATTAGTAAGTAGAGCACAAAGGAAGCTCGCAATGCTCCTGTCTGGAAATATTAACATCATAGTAGTAAAGAGTAATGAGTGTAGGTAAATCGCCACATAGCATTGTTCCACACCACCGTTCACGTTATAAACCGTCAAATTATTCAAATCTTCGTAAACCTTACCCAATAGCTCATTAGGGGTCGTACACATATTACGTAATCATTGAGGAGGGGGTTCTAAATGATTACGCTAGTGTAATTTTAACACAATAGCTATGTGTAAAACTGAACGACCCCTTAGAAGATATGAGTCGTTGAACATTGGGCAAATGTGTTGAATTATTTATTTCTGATTCTCGGCCTACTTAACCTTCGCACGAAGATATGGTCCACCTTTATACTCTCTCTCTCTCTCTCTCTCTCTCTCTCTCTCTCTCTCTCTCTCTCTCTCTCTCTCTCTCTCTCTCTCTCTCTCTCTCTCTCTCTCTCTCTCTCTCTCTCTCTCTCTCTCTCTCTCTCTCTCTCTCTCTCTCTCTCTCTCTCTCTCTCTCTCTCTCTCTCTCTCTCTCTCTCTCTCTCTCTCTCTCTCTCTCTCTCTCTCTCTCTCTCTCTCTCTCTCTCTCTCTCTCTCTCTCTCTCTCTCTCTCTTTCTCTCTCTCTCTCTCTCTCTCTCTCTCTCTCTCTCTCTCTCTCTCTCTCTCTCTCTCTCTCTCTCATTACTAACCTTATTACACATTGCAGAAAAATTATCAGAAAACTTTGAATTTAAACTTAAAGACTAGGATAAAATATGAATTGTGTAGTCCGATCAGTGTACAACTAACATTACTGGAGAACCTGATCTTGCACAATAATCCCTTCAGCACGAAGAGTTGCAATATGTATATTGTATAATGTATATTGTATAATGTATATTGTATATTTATATTGTACAATGACAAACAAATCAAGTTGTACTAACCACCAGGCAGAGAAGTGAACGCAAATCTACCCGATCAGATCATGATGAATTTTTCATTGATGGGTTGACGTGATCTGATGTTGCTCTCATGTGTTATCCAATATTTAGTTTAAATCTTTTGATCTTAAGAATGTAGATCAAAGGTGGGATTTAGTACCATATCATTTTTTCCGCCGGAAGAAACATTCAGCAAAAGATCCAAAGCTGCAATGCAGGTGAAGCTTTCGACAATCAAAAATGCATAACTTAACATGAACTGAAAACAGGAACCGAGCTAAAAATGGAATGTAACACTTTTTAAATATTAGCAAAAACGTTTACTGGACTAGAATTGTAGAGTTTAGTGTATATATACAACACTGTGCACTGTGCAACGTTTACTGGACTAGAATTATAGAGTTCAGTGTATATATATACAACACTGTGCACTGTGCACCGTGCGATGCTATAATACTAATCTGTGGCTTTCAACGCATTTCTTCAATACGAAACGAAACGAAACAAAGTATTTACTACCCCGCTACTATTATATGTGACAAAGATATTGTATAAAACATAACTTACTAATTTAAACAATACGGTGTCCATGTCTGAGCGAATCTCATCAAAAAACTTTCTCTCCTCATCGGAGCAGAAAGTTAAAAACAAAATACGGGTATCATAAAATCAAAAAATACTAAATAATGTTAAAGAGATAATATCAGATTAACCGTCGCGAAAAATAATAATAGTATACTTATATAACTTTATTATATAACTTTGATTTTATTGACACACCGGAAAAAAACCGACTGATTATAACCAAAAAATAATAAATGTATAGTTATACTCGAAAAAAATTGTTCAATTTAAAAACGTTAACCAACATTCAAAATAGATATAATTTCGCCAATGTTTTAGATGTCTGACAACAAAATATATACCAGCCGTAAGTTCGCCTGTAATAACTTTCACATTCTCAATAATTTGATTCTTTATCATTACGAATGATAAACGATTTCATTTCCTTGAAATATCAAGCGAGATAATTTACAAGTAGCGTTAGTTATAGTACATTACAAAAGTAACGTTAGTTAGTACATTACAAAAGTAACGTTAGTTAGTGCATTACAAAAGTAACGTTAGTTAGTACATTACAAAAGTAACGTTAGTTAGTACATTACAAAAGTAACGTTAGTTAGTGCATTACAAAAGTAACGTTAGTTAGTACATTACAGAAGTAACGTTAGTTAGTACATTACAAAAGTAACGTTAGTTAGTGCATTACAAAAGTAACGTTAGTTAGTGCATTACAAAAGTAAAGTTAGTTAGTACATTACAAAAGTAACGTTAGTTAGTACATTACAAAAGTAACGTTAGTTAGTACATTACAAAAGTAACGTTAGTTAGTACATTACAAAAGTAACGTTAGTTAGTACATTACAAAAGTAACGTTAGTTAGTACATTACAAAAGTAACGTTAGTTAGTACATTACAAAAGTCACCTACCTATGTCACCTATGTTGAGATTCGTTAAGCTTTAACAGGGCCATCACATTGTGTGACCACCCCACAGAGAGGAGATCTCTCTGTCATTCCTCCAGCAAAGCAGCGAGTTTGAGTTCTGAGGAGTGTAGCCCCTGATGGGCGGTGTATCCGGAAGAGATAGCATGAACTGGGTGAGCTGCGATTTGAAATGCTCTCGGTCGCCAATGGAATTCAAATGGTAAGGCATTGCATTCCACAATTTTGGGCCTATGACTGCAAATGAATTATCATACAGTGACTGATTTGCTGCTGAGCTGTGTCTGCATGCAGATGGAATGACTGCAAGGTTTCCAAAACGTGGCCTGGAGACAAACTGCACGTTATAAATGTCGTTGCTGGTATGGTGATGGAGAATCTTCCACATATGAAGTAAAATGAACCGCTCCCTGCGACGCTGTAGAGACATCAGAGATAGCCGTTGAAGACGGTCCCAATAATGGAGATCACGCATTCCAGTAATCCTTGCGGTGAAAGCTTTCTGTACGCTTTCAAGCTCCTGGATGTCACATATATCTTGGAGGGGTGCCATATGCATTTATTTCTTCTAAAATATGCTTCGATATATTGAATGATGGCAAGTTTTGGTAACCCATGAATTTGGAGCTGTCCTAGACTGAGCAACGTATCTTACACAAAACATGAATGACTACTATTCAAAAATATATCACTGCACGATATATTTTTAAATAAAAGCGCAGAGCAACTCTCACGAAATCTTGTAAATAATGAACACAATCATATTGATTGTGTGATCTATGTCTATTGTTTAAGGACTGTGTTTGATCCTTAACTTTCCCTAGTGCCATGAATTTGCTTTTCCTTGACCTTAATGTTTTGTTTGTGCCATTCAATTACACCTTTTGTTTTCTTCAGCTCAGGGTAAGTTGACCACATCGAATTAATACAATTAGTTTATCAATTACATGGGTACCCCAGGCTATGATGTTCATAGACATATGAATAGAATTAGAAATTCCGCGGAATGATCACAGGCTGAGCGCCGCCCAGTAAATTTAGCAATAGCAAATGAAATTTTATAGATACCCAGGAACCCTGACCGGATGGGGCTTAACTTTTATTATTATTATTTGAAAGTAAAAAAGTTGGAGACTTTCGGTTTTTTGTAACATGTTCCTCTTTTAAAGTAACGTTCCCCTTCAGGAGGAAAATTCAAGACACCGTAATTGTTGAGTTATCTCAACATCTCCAGAAAAGTCCCCTTTCGGGCCGATCAAAAGTTTGCAACTTTAACTTTGCGGATTCCTGTACTCTGGTTGGCTGAATTGTGTCACGTGGTAGCTGCTTGAACATTGGAATGCGCCACGCGTGCAAATCATGCAGCTTGTTTTCGCGCGCGAGGTCAGGCCGTCTGTTTAAATTAAACCAACTCTAGTACCACCACCAGCCGGTAACTTTTCCTGGGTAGTCCCAAAAAAGCTAACAATCATTCGATTGGGTGCATGATCGTGAGTAGAATTGATATCAGTCCCACAAATTAAATAATTTGATCATGCAATCGGCGAACAGCCTGTCATTACGCCGGATCTCTATTCATATGTTTATCATTATGAACATGATAGCCTGAGGTCCCCAGGTAAGACTAAATTATATACTTAGAGTTCAGTGTATATATACATATTATACAACACTCTGGCACTATGCAGTGACGCAGTGTTATAATACGAATGTATTGCTAAATGGCTTTCAACCAGTTAACGGGTGATACTCGTAAAATATCTGTTCCGTCGACGAGTCCAACTCGGCGCGCGTCCTGGTAGGTTGTACAGTGGGGTGACATGTTTTCGTCACTTCTGAATGCGCGCATTTTAGCACGCGAGTTTGCGTGCACGTCACGTGAAATTGTTAGCAGTGAGTGTAATCACGAGTCTGGAGAATTTGTCTAGTACAAGGCCCAGACCCTTTGGCGTATCTGTACTCTGTAGTAAGTTTAGTGGCGATGTAATATTTCTGACACCACTTAAACCTGAGGAACAGGGAAGTGTTCACAATATCCAACTTAGCATGGTAAACTTATGATATCTCTGGCTGAAGATTAACAACTCTGTCGGTATTTATTTTTAATCAACTGAGAAACGTTTGGTATTGTTACCTTATTAATTTTATCGAAATCGAACAATGCAGTACAAAGATATTCCGTTTTAAACTTCATGGTAATGTTGAAGTAGAAAAAAATTCGTCGCTTGCTATTAAAACATGTGCTCCTTCATAATAAATATTATCATTATCGTGATGAAACCCCTTATTTATGGGCCTGCCAGTCTCTTCTGAAGCACGAATGACCTTAATTTCTACCGTTCGAGAAAAGTTCAGAATTTTCTCTAAACACCCATTTTTGAATTTTGTAAATCGGTGGTCCGGAAGCAGAGTTATGGTTCAATGAAAGTTGTTAGTTTAACACTGTTTGTATTGTCATTGTCAGAAGTGACGAAAACATATGTCACCCCACTGTAAACCTACAATCAACCAGGTGTGCGGGAATGATTTTCTTCATATGGGGGGGGGGGGGGGGGGGGGGGGGGGGGCCAAATTTTAATTTTTTTGGCGCTTCGCGCCACAGCCTAAATTTTTTGGCGCTTCGCCTGAATTTCGAGGGTAAGGATAAAAGGAAATTGTAGCATGTACTGTGCGGTATCGCGATTTTTTTCACGTTTGCCGCAACAAATCGCGATTTTTCAAATCCTGGCCCTCAGCCCTGGCCTCACGACAAATCGCGACAAATTTAGCTTTTGTTATTATGTATTATTAGATGACAATTCAGTGAATGCCAAATGGTTTCGGATTGCATGATTGTCCAGCTTCATCTAAATAGTACAAATAAAAATTGCAAATCATTTCTCCATCAGCGCGGCGTGCATAATGATAATGGAGAAATGAATGACAACTCGATCGTGAGGTATCGGTACATGGTAGACTAATGACTCGAATTATGCCTTTTTCATATTCCTACTTCTATTTGAGAATATTTTCATCGCATGGCCATGATAAAATCAAAAAGAAAACAAATTTGATCTAATTAGGTTAAAACAAAAGGATTAAACATTGTTTTTCTTTGTTCGAATTACGCGCGTTCTCTGCATGAATTTCAGAAATAGAAAACATTAAAATATGATACATAATTGTTGATAGATTAACATGATACTGATAGCAGCTGTTTTGTAATCACAGGCTTTTTGTTTTACGAAACGGTATGGCGATGTTATATTATATTGTTTTCCTAGCCTTCATTAAGTGCATTGTATATTCATAATGGACTGGATTATAGTTGAATACAATGTTTAAATGACCTTCTCTGCGGAATGCTGCTTGGGAATGATCTTACTTGGGGACCTCAGGCTATCACATATCAGGCAATAGAGATTCGGCGGAATGACAGGCTGAGCGCGGCCCAGTAACTTATTAGTATACTAGGACAAATATAATCTCCCCTCATATCAGTCACATTCATTTGATTCTATAGAGTTCAGAAAAAGAGTAATTATTATTAACACTTCTTAAAAATCACCAAATATTTTCACCATTTTTTGGGCGGTCATGAGCGTGAATAATCATGTCCGTGAAAAATTTGGTCCGATAAGGTATGTCCACTATGACTAATTAGTGACAAGTGTAGATTGTATCAAATTTGAAATTGTTGAAAGTCAGTTAATGTTCATCAGCTCATGGAAAGCTTTTTTGTTGCGCGGGACTTCTTTGTATTAAATCTCTCGTATATCGCAGATGTCATTAGTCCATTTTGAACAATGTAAACGCTGTTTATTGATCGTTAAAACTGTTAGTCAGAACTTGGTAAAAATCCAGTATTTATATGTTTTGAAACATAATATACCTTCAAATAATATAACTGGTCAATAAATTAGCAGAATTAAAAAACCTTGTTCACTAAATCGATAGCCTAATTTGTACTACTACTAGTTTTCTGAGGAAGAAAATCTGACAAAACATTGGCACAAATCGCTGACAGTGGAGGCATTGCACTACTAGAAACGTTTAAAACAGAAGAAGCCACAGTTGCTGAGGAATTGTGTTTGAATTCGGGCGACGTAACGGCGGGAGCTGCTATCTTGAGGAGTTGAGTGAAAACTGTAGCAGTGTCAGCGTGTTGCCGCTCAGCAGTAGCTAGAGGGGGTGGGGAGATGTGGGAGAGGGTGTAAAGCTCGTGCTGATTGTTCAGCATCACAACTTTCTCTCCCCCATCCACAACACAAGCTCCCTCTACCACTCCAGGGCACACAAACTTGTGGACAGCTAACGGTGCTGCACTTTTTACCCCAAATAGATACGCATCCGTTACAGACTTTCTGGCTATAAATGCGAGGAAAGTCTTGTCAGGGAGCCCTAAAATATACGACACGTTAGCTGAGACCTCCCAACAAAGGGAAACAGATGTAAGGTCCCACACTGAGATAAGATCTTTAGCAGAGTTAAGGAGATAATATCCAGATAAGAAGATCTGGTCCATTCTACTGATTAACTGAGGCACCTCTGCTTTAACCTCCCATTTGTCAGTTCCGTATAGCACTATCACACCCTTGTAACCGACCACAATAACACTTCCATCATCTGATATGACGCTGTTGTACGCTGGTCCGTGTCGGTGTTTCAGGACCTGTTTCTCAGTCCATTTGTCCTCATCGTCTCCACAGACCCATACCTTGACGGTACAGTCAGTTGAAGTTGTCACTGCAGTGGGGGAGGCAGTGAGACCTAGGGAGAGGGAGGTGGTCAGCTTGGTGTGGGGAGGATCTACACACGTCTTCAGAGTGTATCCTGTCTCGTGTCGTCTCCAGAACTTCAGTCTGTTCTCTGGAGTGACAAAACCGTCGTCTCGTCTTTCTATCGTAACCAACCATTCTTCGTCAAAACTTATCTGATAGAAAAAGTTATATCAAACGTAGGTTTTATTTATTCATTGTTTAATTCTTAAAAACCATCAACAGATTCTTCAACACTATACATCACAAGAATTTAAAGCACACAAGTTCAGATGTAAAACCTTGAAATGAGTTATGTCAATGTATGATAGAGTCTTATTTCTCGTGTGACCAGTGCTTTGGTTCTGGTTGGTTATGTCTACTATTCTCTTGTGTTCCCTCTTCTCCACGTCAAATACCTGTTATTCATTAATTTAGAACTAGAATACAAAATATAAAATATGGTAGAACGGAAAGAGTGCATGTCAAAAAAGTCAAGATTCTAAATATCGAAAGTGAAAGCGATTTAACCTGTAGATTGCCGGGGGTTGAAGAGAATACAACATCAGTTCCCGAGCTAGCAATTTCAGTTGTAGCACGTGTTTTGCTGCATGTGTCACGTGGTCTGAAACGGAAAGTACATCGTTACAAATTCTATGATTGAAAGTTGAGGCTACCAGATGATAATGAAACCGACGATAATCTCAAACAACCGTATATATTGTTTCAATGAACATCCAAAGGAGAGCTAATCAATATAGGATACCTTTTGAGGATATTGCAGAGTTTGAACTTGACAGTCCATGTGTTGAGAGAGACAATATGAATGGCAGTATCCTGGGTAACCAACACAACTATATCACCTGACTCCGGGCACAGCACGTGTTGTATTCCTGTACAGTGAGGTCGTCACAATGTGCCATGTTATGTTATGTACATCTCATATCAAACAACCGTGAAAGTGAAATAATTTAACTTGAAGTTTAAATCGTTCATAACATTGGTAACATTGTGAAAGTGAAATAATTTAACTTGAAGGTCAATGAGCTTATATAAACAAGATAAAGAAGGTCCTCTATTCTACAATACGATAGAATTGGAATAAAGGAATGAGTAACTTATAAATACACGAAAAGTAAATAGTAACCTCCTCCTATTCTGGGAAGGAACTGAGGCTGTCCGTCGAGCCACTTTACCAGCACACTCTCGGCCCCTCCAGAGAAGAGGACATCAGAGCGGGGAGCGAAGCCCATTCCTCCTACTTGGTTAGCGTGCCAATGCTGCACATCCCCTTCTACACTTCCCTGGTGCGTGATATCTTCAATTTTATTACTAACTAATAATTTTATTACTTTACTTTATAGCAAATCATGAGATGATATTAAAGCCTCCAAAAAGAAAAAACCACTCTGTTACAACCCCTTGAAATCCCCTCAGTTTCGTTGCAATCACGGCTTTCATCAAATGTGGAGCGTTCAGCATTTTAACATGCCGTGCAGCTTACAATACCTTTGTTTTGTTCATACGTTATTTTAGCAGGGATTGACAGCTTTAAATTTCCGTTAATCACAAACAAACCTTGACATTCCAGTCATTTAGGAAGCAAATTCTCCCATCCACATCCGCCACTGCAGCTATATTCCTTGTCGGGTGAAGCGCAGTAGCACAAAGATCTGTATCGTGTGTAAATCTGGTGAAGGTGGCGCACGTGCACGTGTTGATGACGCGCACTCTCGTGTCACGTGTGAACAAGATGAAGTTGCCACAGGATGATATTCGGAAGTTATCGCATTGTTTTTTGATGATAAGCGAATCAGAAATGTGGGACAATGTGGATGCACAATGCTTTTGAATCTTTGTTATCGTATTACCAGACTCTGAAACAAGTTCTTTTTTAATACAACAAGATCAATGTACTAGAGTACTAGATGAAGCAGGAAAATATTTGTGGAATAAAAATAATTTCATCACGTAAGTCGGTTTTAAATTTACTAAATTCGTTAAAATGCAATCAACAGTACTCACCTGTGCCTCTAGTGACGAGGAATATGTGCTCGGCAGAACGAGAAACGAGAAGGTGTGAAACTGAAGAGCCCGCAGTTAACGTCCTCATCAGAGTCCAGTCAGTCATATCCCAAACAGACACGCTCCCGTCACGTGACGTTACCAGAAGCTGCTGAGAATTAGTCGGACTCGGAGACAATCCTGAGGTATAGAGGGGTAAGTCTACTTTCAGGGAGGGGATGTTCACTGTTCAGTGACTTGAAAATGAAATCAGAAACACTATTGAGAAATTTGACACGCGATATACAGTTATATGATGCTATCGATGGATTTTGGAGATAAAAGACTTGTAAAGTGACCAACGACTTAACACTATTAAGTTCTATTAGGGACACACTACACTCCCATGTCCCGCTTTCCAGAAGAAATTTAACAAACAAATAAGGAGAAAGTTTGGAATTAAAGTGAATACTTGAATACTATTTTTACCTTAAATAATATAATATATATATTGAATTACCGCAAAGATCCGATCAATTGCATTGCAGCTGGGTCACGTTTATTGTGTCACAAGAAAAGTCAATAAAATTCAATAAAATCAAAACAGCGAACAGTCACTTTGCGATAACTGATCAAATACACGATAAAAGATAGCTATAATTTATCAATTTGAAACTGACAGTTATATAACTTTATAGATTATTTACTACATTAAGACCGAGGTTAGTCTTAGTTTTGCAGTCTCTATGCTACTAAATGTTGTATGTTGTCCTTGGATTCAGATGCCCGCGGTTCCAGTGCTTTTGTTCGCAATCACGGTGCATGGTGTGGCGTTGGTTCTAGGAAGGCGCGGACTCTGTCCAGCCCTTGAAGCTTGAGTAGACTGAGTGTTAGAGTGACTGGGTTCCGCCTCATATCGTCGTCCTGCCCAGCTGCGGAACATACCGAGGACAGCATTCCTAGCATCTCCCGTTCTAGTGAGGATGATGAGGGGGTTGATACCGGAGGTGATGATGGGGATCCAAGCGAAGATGATTTCGTGGAAACTAATCTGATCGGGCAGGACCCACATAACCAGCACAATACTGGCTACCGAGATGAAGTAAGGCACGTTTATCAGCAAGATTGTGATGCAGCTTGACATGTACTTCGTGTTATTCTTACCCGGACCTTTCCTGAAATCAAACTTCTAGTAAAACTACCAAATGTGTGTCTTATTTTAAATTTAATTACATATATAAGTTTAATTTGCCAGTAATAAAACATTTTGGTGTAAAATAAAATAAATTATCCAAACCTGGTAGTAAAGTAAAGGAAGATAACAGTGAACAAAGAAACGAACACACCGGCACAGCAGTGAGCAAAGTTTGCCCAGAAGCACAGATCCAGTCCAAGTTTCAGCAGCATATTTGACGTCTCATTTTTTTCGAAGAACTCCAAGATGACAAAGTAAGTACCATTGTTGAGGATCATATACACAAAGTAACCACCAAGGTACATCAGGACATACTTTTGCTTGAAGTTGGAGAAAGGAAACACGATCTTAATGGATCGGGACACAGCCAGAAGAAAGCCTATGATCTGTGAAAAGCAACCAATGAGGCAGGTCCAGGTGCGGGTGTATCTTAGCAGGACGTGGGAGGAGGGGAGGAGCTCCGGGGTCAGCATGACGTAGGTGTAGATAAGTGGGCCCCAGAGGTCAGTCAGAAAGTCAGTCACTGCAAGACATCTGAACAGTGTGCTGGCTTTTGTCTTGGTTGATCTAAAGTACCAGAACAAGAGTGGGTTAAGAGTGGTTGAGATTAACCAGGGGATTATGAAGAAGATTCCCAGAGAGTAGTTGACGGCTCTGTCTCCCGAGGAGGGTGTAAACGGCACAATGTCTGACGCATTATTAACGGGATCTGTAGGGTCTTTCTCATAGAGAGTTAGATCTTCAGAGAATAGAAACCTCCAGAAGATAATCATGATAGCTGTAGATAACAACTGAGCTCAGATACTCAAGTTAGGATCTATAAAACCATTCTGTGGTTGATTTCATGATACTTAGATTGGGTGGGTATATTTAGTGGTATAATAAGTAGCTAATATTGGTGAGGTTAATATCCCCGGTCGAGTGGTATGAAACACTACGACAACTGCGGGTTTTAATGGTTCTCAGCGGTTTTTAAGCTGGTCGATAAGTTAACAAATTGTGTTAAAGAGATATGATAACTCTCAAAAACAAACCTAACAATCATGGATGTAATTAAGTCATTGAATAAGGAATAAGGATAAATATATATCTCATTTGAAATGGTTCCCTTTAGTAAGATCCAAAGACAATAACCTCTTAATTAGCTAATTAGCGACAAGTTACACATTACGGAGCGAATCAATTAAACCCGCGAGCAAGAAGAAATCGTTTTTACCAATAGTAAAACGATTATAGGTATTAGCGGATAGAGTTCTGAGATAACGTTAGTGAGGAAACCACCTCCGAATTGGGAGAGGAAAATGATCTCATCCACAGCAAAAATTTGAGAGGTCTTGATGATGAATGACCACGATCAGGTCGATTTTCTGTCAAAACACAATCGGCATATAAAAGAGTAAGGGGTAAGTGTTCAAGTGTTGCCAGATGCCAACTAATCTTCAGATGGCTATTTGAAAAGTGTTTTTTGAAGGACGTGATTCTATGCCAGCTGTTCGGCTCCGTAAAAATCAGTAAATTTCTGGAGTTTTAAAGCAACCTTTGGTCAATATGGTTCTGATCAGACGCGACGGCCATATTAGTTTACTTCGATTGTCAAATCTTTTCTTGGATTTTCCTAAAATTGAGACAATTAAATGAATAAATGGGATGACACTAGCAATTAGCTGTTAAAGTACCGATTTCCTTGTCCTTTTTGGTACAGTCATAGTCCTTTCAGAACAGATTTCACTAACGCAACCCCGAGACAAAATGCCTGATAATTTCATTATTCTAACTTTGTTAGATCATGTTCCACAGCTAAACTTATGGCCCCCTGTACATTCTTGTCATCTTCGAGGCTGTAATGAGAGCCTCTTCCATTGACATTTCACATCATTGTTGGGATTGTGAGTAAGCTTTGAGATCTTGTCCCAACCGGGACTCCAACTCGCTAACTTTAGGCCAGTAGACATGTGAGATAACCAAATGAGCCATAAGAAATGAAATAAATAAATTATACAAAACGAACTTGACCAGAGGACTTTTTGAAAGCTTTGATTCACTGAATATGATTTTCAGCGACAACATATTGAAAAAATGTGTTTTACAAATAATCCCGGCATTTTTTTCAAATTTAGACGATAAAAGGTTCATCAAGATATTTCATTTAATACAGCAACACCTCGAACGAAAGTTTGTCTCATAAATCAAGTTATCGCACATAATAAAAAGCGAAGAAGCCTCGAATATCGATTTCAACTAAATGTGTATGATTTTGGAATCATTTAGCCCTCTAATCTCACCCTGCACAATGGTTTCAGATTGTTTCGGCTAGCTTTGAGAAGTAGCAACTATCTGCTGTTATAAAGGTATCACTATCTTTAATTATTAAAATAATCGCTGTTTAACATCTCCAGTGTTTGTATTGTGACAGCAATTTTCATAGCAACTAATGATAACAGTATAATCGTGGACATTAAACAAGGTAAAATAAACTAGTAAAACAAGTGATATTAGATATTAATGGTAGCAGTACAATGAACTGAACAAGAAAAAAAAAGAGGTTCACATTACTAGACACGAGAAGGGGGTGTGGTTTTGTGACGGTAGAGGGTGATAATCGGTCTTATTTGTTATTGGCAGACATTATTTGTGGATGGCACCCAAACAGGTGTCACTTAGCAGTAACTTCGTTAAACTTAATCGATAATTTGTTTTAATTCCACATTATATGATAACAACAACCTCTCCTTACTTCAGCAATTTAACAGATCAACTATCATGCTTGAAATATCGAAGTTTGGTTGTTGTGAACAAGCATAGAGAGGATCAGATAATAGTTTATTCGTAAACCAAAACTCATCCCAGAAATTAACAACTGACAAACCATTTGTAAAAGCAGGACTGGCGTAACACTAACCTGTAACCTCAGAAGATCCAAGTTTTTGCACGTGCAAAAGAGCAGCATTGCGGGTGGAGTAAACCAGAAGATGAGACTTTACTGCGACGTAGAGATCCTCTTTAACAAGAGTGCAGCATGTTATCTCACCGCCTCCCAAGTAGTAGCCTGTCAGCCCCTCTAGAGTGAGGTCCTCCATTGCTATTTAAGGGGTATTAGTTTAAACTAAGGCATAGATTTTGTGTTTAAAAGCTTTAAGATATGAAAACGATTTTATCTTAAATCCCTAAATTTGAATCCGAAACTCTGTTCTGTTTTCAACTATCTGGTTTCAAATAAAGGAATTCTAATAACAGGTCATGGGGAGGATTATATTATTACGCAGTAATAAACAGGATGTTAATCTATTAATTTGGTATTTTATCTAAATGATGCACATATTCTCTTGTTTAAAGATAACCTTTTTCAATTGATTTTATAAAACTTGCGAAAACTTCGCAAGATCTGATGCTTAAAACTTTTAAGCGAACAACAGCAATAGAAATTGGCAGAAATTACACACAGTAAAAACCTCTAAGCAAATAAATTACCACCAGCTGTAAAAATAAAACTGAACCTTACTTAAATACATATATAACATCGGGATTAATTCAAAAAGATCCGGAAATCTATTATAAAAGATAAAACACAATTAACTCCACCTTTTTAATTATTCAACAAAAAACGATCCACTTTTACCCCCTTCTTTTCGCAGTAATCTAGTATTACTAATAACAGCAGATTTGTCCAAAGCTTTGCACATATCATACACTGTGAGGGCAGCAATAGAGGCCCCGACCAGGGCCTCCATTTCCACTCCAGTCACAGCATTACAAGACACTGTACAGTTGATGTGTAATTGGAACCTAGTCGGGTTAGTTTCTGTAGGAGCCCCCTCTGAGGAGATGTCTTTTGTGACAGATTCAAGACAAGGATTTGAGTGCTGTAAAGAATTTAAAACCATGCCTGAAATGGACGGACTTTCTTTTTGACTGTCGGAAAATGTGAAAGTGATATCAACCTTGTTTAAGTTTATCTGGTGGCACAAAGGAATGAGAGAGGAAGTAAGTTTAGCACCTTGAATCCCGGCTATTTTAGCTACAGTTAGAACGGCCCCTTTACTGGCTGTGTTTTTAACAACGCTCTCGTAAGCCTCTCTGTTTAGAGAGATAGTGCTTTCTGCGGTGGCCATCCGAAAACTCGGAGTTTTATATCCTACATCTACCATATGGGCTTCCCCAGTGGAGTCTATATGTGATAACCCTAATGAACTATATTTACTATAGTGTTCAGAGGATGATTCGGAGCTCATACTCCTAGCAGATTGATAAAGTACATGTCTTCTGGGGTCAGGAATGCGGAATGTGGGAGGCGTCACACGTTTATCTGAAATTACAAAACTGTTAAAAAGTATAGTCCGCTTTTATTACCACTTTCTACTCTTAAGAGTTTGCAATTAAAACTCAATAATCGATAGAACTAACCCACCGATAAGGATCATTGGTCTCTTCATGCCCTTCTTGATCTCCTCCTCACCTTCAATATATGATTAGAAAATAACAACAGGGCTACTATGATCACAAATTGTCAAGTTAGTTCTGAAATACGTCATGTTGTATCATATGAGAACTGGCAGAAAAGTAGAATACCAAGTAACTGACCTCCATGGGAGAACTTTTTCCGTTTAACAGCAGCACTGATAACATTAACTAGCTCGTTTTCGTTGTCATGAGAGAGCGAGGGATCACGCAGAGTATCACGTAGGGACACTTCATCTTCCCCAAACAAACACATCTAAATGGACGGACAGTTTAGAAAGTAATAATGTAAGCAGGTGTTATTATTATAAAATCGGTCAAATGCAGTTTAGATTAGTTCAATATATTTTATACTTGTTATTGAGCACACAACAGGAGCAACTGATGAAATAAATAGATATTAGATAATTTCTTGCATGATAAATATATGTAGTAACACAGAGTTTTCAGTTAACACCGCATTCGACAAACCAGTAATAAGGAAATATGTGACTAACACGAGAATAACACGTGTCTAACACGTGACACGCTTTGTTCACGAGACGGAGCTCATTCTTACTTTGAGATTACCATCATGAGTAAGTCGCAGTCTGTTACACCCACCACAGAAGTTTCTGCTCATTGAGGAGATAAATCCTATACTTCCAGAATGTCCCTCCACAGTGTAGTTCTGAAATCACACAAGATATATTGATGTGATTAAGTGGGCGAATACAGGTTGGAAAATGAACTTGTTTATAGTAAACGAAATAACAATCTACAATTCTGATAATTGAACGTGGCTATAGTTATTATTCGTTATCTCACATACCATAGAGGTACTGGTTTGTTCATCATTCTGGCGACTCAGCTTGCCGAATTTTTCCTCGATGATGCTGATTTGAGCCTGATATGGTATGAACTTGTGCTTACTCCACGCGTTTCCAGAAAAGGGCATGAACTCCAGAAATCTAACTGATATCCGGTCTTCTTTCGTCAGAGATACGAAATCACATATCTCATCATCATTTACCCCTTTCATGACGACTGTGTTCAGCTTAAATATATAAACATGTAAATATATAAATATATAAATACACGATGTTAACAGGATTACATTTAACTTTTCAATTTATCAACATTTTGCTCTAATGGTGACATCCTCTGGATCAGACAGAGGTAGAGTGTTATCGGGATTACTTCTGTAGTAGTTGTACAGCAATACTAAGGTAATGGGACTACTGCGGACCCTCTACCGGCCAAACCTTGTTAACAGAGCCGCAGTCAAGGTTTGGTGAATGGAAGTTAAAAGCGCTTAAGGGACATAATCCCATTAGCTTAGTATTGCTGTACAACTACTACAAATTTTGCTCTAATATGTAAATCGAAGCAGAAAAGACAATGTTAAAAAAGGTTCGCAGATTACAGTGCACTTACTTTGACAGATTTTAGAGGAGAATCGATAGCTTCTCTAACTCCTTTCAAAACTTTTTGAAGAGTTGCCGCTGAAATTAAATTTAAATTATCTTTACATCTGTTATTCATGGATCTGCCAAAATCGAGCTTAAACATTATAGGCACATTAGTAAAAAAACATTGTCATTATTATTCGTCTTGTTGTATTGTAACATCGGCTGTTAACTGTTCATCGTTCCCCAGCACCGCACCAAGGGAGCACGTCACCCAGTATACATCATACATGTGATTTATACTGCGCGGCGTAAAAACTTAGTGCTGAAAGAAACTTTGTATTTACAAGACTTCACAGCGCAAGACATTTTATCATAATATCCAGGTCAGTTTTGCCACTTTGTAATGTGATAAGTTCTGAATGAGTTAATTAGACTCAACCCGGCCGTCATTGATTGATTCAAAAAATCCTTTTTATAGAACGATAAATTGACAAAATCAGTAAAATGTAAATCACCTGGACGGCGACCAATGAAAGCAAATTTCTGAGGGACTAAAGTATCCAGACTAATGTTAACGTTGTCAAGTCCAGCAGATACCAAGCTCGGTAAGTGGCGAGACAGTGTCACAGCGTTCGTTGTTAACGCCACTGTTTCAATTCCATCCAACGATTTTAATTTCTCTGCAGTAATTGTAGTATCAAACCAACGAATCACCAAGCATTTTGTTAGAAATTCCTAACAGTTAAAATATACAACAAAAAGTAATCTATCAAAAAGTAGTCTAAAAACTTACCAATTAAATAAACAAGGTCCTTGTTAATAAGAGGTTCTCCACCAGTAAGACGTATCTTATTGACCCCCTGGTTAGCAAATATCTCAGCTAACTGTATTATCTCACTTGTAGTTAACAAATCTGGTTTTGGAGTAAGATCCACCCCTTCCAAAGGCATACAGTATTGACCTGGTGTTAGTTTAGTTGTTATATAACCAATTATAAAATATATTTTAAAATCGGTTTAGAAACATTGAAATGCCAGTCAGAATCAGATTCTAAGAAAAATACGAAAGTTTACAGTGCAAAATTTAAAATAAATAAAAAATATTATCAAACAAACATCGTAGGTTGCATCTTTCAGCGATTGATATTCTGAGATAGGTGTGTTCTCTGTTGAAAGTGTCCACTAATTTTGCCTGTTTCCCGGTAGGAATCTCTTTAACAAAACTCTGTAACATGTTTGAGATTAAAGAAAGTGCAAAGTTAGCACAGAAACGCAATGTTCTTCAGCAAGAGGAAACGAAGAATCTATTCGACCATGTCAGGGTCAGGTGAAATGCTGGTAAACTTAATCTGAAGACTATTTAGTTACCTGAGTAGAGAAGGCTCTGAGAGAGGAGGGAAATTTGCGAAACATCAGAATATTTCTGAGGATTTTACCATTACTTGCAGCTGTCATGAGAGAATGAGATTATTATAGGCTGATTAAAAATGCCATTAAATTTACCTTCAGAACGAATGTTCAGTTTTTAGATTATATTCTTAATATCACTAAAGCATTTTATAACTTAAGCCAACAGTTAGAAATTAACACACAGTAGGTTGTACAAACTGCTGCAAATTGAATGTTGAGAAATATTAATTATTAACTCCCGTTGTTTTGAATAATGTACATTATTAGCTCAATAAATTTTCTACATGCTAGATATTAATACATATATACTCATCTAAATACATTATCATTAACATTTCATAAACGCAATCCCAGAAATATAAATCGTAAAAATTTAAATGTATTTTGAAAGTAGACTGTAGAGTACAAAATCCTAAATTATCATTATCAATGCACTACAAATAATCCGTAAACAACAACTAAACAACTATAATAAAATACAAACACACAAAACTCAAAGGTGATATTATCAAATCAAACAAAAGGGAACTTTCAGATACATAATATGCCATCGCTTAAAACTGAATGGGATGGCAAAAAATTATGAAAAAAGGAATAATATAATGGAATAAGAGCACTCAGTACTACTTTATTTATAAAATTATTGTCCGTCAAAATTATACTATTTTTACAAATCGTATGACACATTCTTTACTAGAGCTCCTTTTGATTGTTCCCCTAATTTGAAGACCAGCTCAACTTTATCAACTTCAAAACCTTCTTTAAACTCAACAACAACAGTGTAAGACTGGGTCACATCAGGGATAGACTCAACCGGTAGAGAGAAGTCTCCGTTTAGTTTCTGCTCAAATGTCTTATCTCCTCCGCTCTAGATAGCGATATTACAAATATCAAGAGGGGTTTATTGATAATCTAACACCTGACTTGAAGCATATCTATGAGTTTATTAATAACTATCTTGGACAGTCATATTCTGATGCGGTACTTTCTCTATAAATACATCTACATTCTACACAGTTGCAGTATGCTACAAATAATTAGAACCTGACTCACGGTTAATCTCAGTTCCACGTTCTCAATAAAAACAGCCGGTTCATTGAACCGTGGGGTAGTGGCTATAACTTCATCTCCAACTGCTTTGATCACAAACTCCTGTCGGTACTCAAACTTTAGATCCCTTTTAGTTTCTGAAACTTGGTAACATTTGCATTGGGATGATTGATTTCGTTCTAAAAATTAGAGTAACTTAAAAATGTCGTTGTAACACCAATCATGAAGCACAATAAAAGATGGTATATATAAATAGTGGAACTTACAAAGGTGATTTAGGATTCGTATCATGAAGTTGTCAATGTGATCATGAATACATATCTCAGCTTGTGTATCGTAAGGTGTATCTTGTCTGTTGCAGATAACAAAACAACTTGATAAGGATGGTAAGTCACAGAACGGAGATGTTCTCATACTGCTACCTGTAATACAGCTCCTGTTATTGGTCTTACATTTACCTGTAATACCTCCTGTTATTGGTCTCACATTTACAAATTCTCTATAATATATAGTATAACAACTCCAGTAAAAGAGCAATACATATACTAACAATAACCACTCAACACGTGACAACAGGTGACATACCCAAAACAATGACCAGGTCAGCAGCTTTAGCGGCTTTCTCTGCTTTTTTCAGGGGTCCCACAGGTACCATCTGCCCATACCTCACACCGGTCTTCTTTAACTTTCCGGAACATTCTTCTTTTTCACAACGGCGATGTAAAGCCGGAGTTATCACTTTTCTTATGTACCGTGTTTTGCAGGTTAGGCACTCCTGAGATACACTGATAAACAACAAATCAATAAGATCTAAAGCACACTATTGGTTCCTGTCATTTACTGACACATCAAGAATCACTGACATTATGAGTTGGTTAAGAGAATGTGCTTACCTCAATAAAAGCAGTCCCAAAAACGTTAGCTGACTTTTCCCAGGGAGTTCCACTTTTCTGATGCAATCCATCATGATTAGATGTTGCAACAAATCTTACAATATTAAAGGTTTAAGTCTCTAGAGTGATTTTCATTTGCCCATATTTTACTTGAAGTACTATTGCAACTTGTGAGGTAGCTTGTAATTTGTCAGCGAATGTTATAAAAGACCCGTTCAAAATACCCGTATTAATGTAAGACAAAGAAAGGAGTCAAAGCACTCATAACATAACAGATTAACAATGTTTTATTAAGGGGGCCGGGGGGGGGGGGGGTCTTCATCAAAATTATCTCGAAATTGATTTTATAGTTGTTTCTGATAGAGGGGAGTGATATCTATCAGCTGCTTTTAGTCCCATGGAAAAATATTGTTCCTAGCCGAAATTATCGCTGGTCAAAGGTCAGCGCTCATGAGTAATTGTATTGCGCGAGCGATTTTCAATCGCGCATCCTGAAAATCGAGTCTAAAAATCTATCTTCTCCTAAATTTTTTGAGCAATCACCCTGAAACTTTCAGGATATGTTCTAGGGATCATTTAGAAGAGAAGTATCGAGCCGAATTTTGAGATAGGCCTCAGAAAATTTTTAAATCGATTTTGAAAATCTTGGACCTGGAAAAATCGTAAAAAAATGAGGTCCAAGATTTTCAAAATCGAATTAAAAATTTTCTGAGGCCTATCTCAAAATTCGGCTCGATACTTCTCTTCTAAATGATCCCTAGAACATATCCTGAAAGTTTCAGGGTGATTGCTCAAAAAATGTAGGAGAAGATAGATTTTTAGACTTGATTTTCAGGACGAGCGATTGAAAATCGCTCGCGCAATACAATTACACATGAGCGCTGACCTTTGACCAGCGATAATTTCGGCTAGGAACAATATTTTTCCATGGGACCAAAAGCAGCTGGTAGATATCACTCCCCTCTATCAGAAACAACTATAAAATCAATTTCGAGAGAATTTTGATGAAGACCCCCCCGGCCCCCTTAATGAGCATTGTAAGGATACCTTTGCTAACCCCCCATAAACCAAGGATTGAAAGAAACGCCATTATGCTATTTCCCGGAGAGGCCCGGTATTATAGAGGTGCCACTATAGAGGTGCCACTATAGAGGTGTCACTATAGAGGTGCCACTATATATTCATATCACAGCCCGGAATTACAAACTCACTCGAATCTAGGATCTTTCTCCATCAAGAAGGAAATAGCACGATGCCCAACAGTTGGCATCTTGGAGTCCAAGTCCCTCTCAGAGATTCCCATTTGAGCTATATTGAGAGGTGCTTTGTCTAAACCATGGTCACCACGAAAATCTGATGTTTGAGTTATTTAGATAAATAAATGGACGTTTTAACATATATATAATACATCTATTGGTGAAACTAATAGCACTTTGCAGCCACAACATTATACATGATGTAACAATATGTAGTGTGGTAAGCACAGCCCCCTACTAATAAGAAGATGTAACAATCAAACCAGGAATGTTAGCAGCTGTAGATATTCCAGCTCCAGTGAAAAAAACTATGTGTTCAGAAACGTCCAACAGAGAATAGAGTTTGGAGTATTTCTCTTGTAACTCGTCAGATTGGTCAAGGAACTCAGTCATCCCTAACTGATTAGTATTTAGTTGGTTTGACAAAGTCAGGAAATATAATAATATATAATATATGTATGCAGATGCATTAAAGAGAGTGAAGATATTATTACTATCCCTCACCTTGTAGAATTACAACATATAAATACAACACAATAATAATTGTGAAAATCAATCCAAATCTTACATGTTACGGTGTTTGTACTTTACCTTTGTACATCTATACAAGTACAAATACACAATTGCAATGGAAAAGTCTGCTCATAACTCTGCAAAGAATCTTCTCGTCAACGGTTTATGTAAAGCTTGTTCGAATGATGAGGTTGTCAAAAGTACCGACATTGTACAGTGTTTTTGGTGTAAGGACAGTTTTCATGCTATCAACTGTGATGAAACTTGCAATGTCAGTGCGCCCACGGTTTTTACTGCTCACCTGTCTCATGCTGTGAACAACACTTCATCTTATGCTAAACGATTTGGTCGCTTTCTATTTATCTGTAATGATTGTAGTACTGCTGAGGAGGAAAAGAGGGCTGCTACTACCGTAGATCGGGTAGGATTGTTAGATAATAAAATAGATGCCATAAATTTGGAGTTCAGGGAAGAGATGTCTGAACTTAAAACCTTGCTGAAGGAACAACTGTCCCAGAAACCTGAGAGAGCTCAAGAGCGATCCTCAGATCAGGTTGATTTTATGAAACAATTTGCTGAACAGTTTTCATCTTTAAAAGAAGACCTCACGAAAAATATCAATGATGTTATTGACAATAAAGTAAACACTGTTGTAACAAAATCTGGTACTGTTTCTCATACAAAGGACGTTCTCTATTCCAGCTTGTTTACCGACTCAAACAGTTCCACACCATCTGCTCAACCACCACATGTTCCAATTGCTCCAACACGTACACAACCTTCATCACCCGAGATTCTAATTCTGTCCCCGAAAGAAGAACAATCGGTAAATGCTGCAACAATGACGAATGTGAAAAAATTTGCTACTGATAAATTAAAGAGCAGTCAAGTAGTATTTCTCAGATGTAATGAAAACAACAAGAAAGTTTCAATTGGCTTCCCTAATGCTGAAATTCGTGATAAGGCTACTTCACTTCTCAATGATGGAAATACCTTAGATTCGTATGGATATCAGTCTAAGAATGGCAACAAAATGCTGCCAAAAGTTACTATTTATGGTGTTTCTTCTGAAGTTCTTGACGATATAGACACTACAGCTGTAGGGAATGATGCCGATAAACTTAGGGATCTTGAAAAGAACCACTTAGTCGCCCAAATTGTGGAGAAAAACTCGTCCATCAAAGATTTGTATGAAGCAAGGCACACTATCAGTATTGTCTATCTCAATAAGATAAAACGTTTCACCAACGATAAGCAGGAACGCATAGAGCTCACTATTGGAATCAAACTATCACCATCTGTCTATAGAGTCCTCTTTAACCAACAACAAGGATCTCTCTATTTAGGTAGTCGCAGATACAAAGTAACTGATCGCTTCTACATCAAACAGTGTTATCATTGTCAAATGATTGGACACACTTCTGTTGACTGTAATGAAGTCAAAACAAATAAACATCCTACCTGCATGTACTGTATGGGAAGTCACCGGTCTTCAGCATGCCAATTTAAGCAGAAGAAGGACAAACATGCCTGTGCTCGATGTTTGGCTTCAACACACACTAATGATGCCGAGAATTCAAGAACACATAATGCGGCAGCTTACGATTGTCCTGTGTTGGTAAGAGAAACTAAACGTATTGCTGCTAACACTGATTTTATTTCAAAAAACGTAATGTGAAATTAGGTGCTAATCGACAGAAATCACAGCTTTCTATTGGTTGTTTCAACGCAAGGTCTCTATGCAACAAAACTTGTGGCGTACTAGAAATGCTTAAAGATAACTCGATTTCTATCTGTTGTATCACGGAAACTTGGCTAAAAACTAATGATCGGGCAAAGTTTGCCGAAATCCGTGATTTTGGGTTCGATATTATCAGTGCCCCTCGAAGAGGTAGGGGAGGTGGTGTTGGTTTTCTCTTCAACCCCAAAATGATATCGCCTGTACGCAATGATGTTACTAAATATTCATCTTTTGAAGTACTTGAATGTGTAATTAAAACTGCTGGTGAGATTATCAGGCTATGTGTAGTTTATCGCAGCACTCAGGCCAAAGCGAAATATGATGAAACAAAAATATCTAAGTTTATGGATGACTTTGATGGATACCTGGACAATCTTCTGCTTAAAACTGGATCTCCAATTATTTGTGGTGACTTTAATTTCCATGTTGAAGACCTGAACAATAATGTTGCCCAGAACTTTATTGCTCTTTGTGAGAGCAAAGGCTTCCTTCAGCATGTCGACTCTCCTACTCACATCTCCGGCGGGACACTGGACTTGTTATTTACTCTAGGCTGTGTAAGTGACTCATTGTCTGTAACAGATATGATGGTAGAGACAAGCACTGGAACCAGCTCTGATCACTATCTAGTAAGTTTTCAGGTCCCAGTCACATTCGATCTTCATAAAGCTCGTACATATGAAGAAAAAGATGTCAGAGAGCTAAGCAAAATTGACATCGATAAGTTCAGGGAAGATCTGTTTTGTTCAGAGCTTAACCTTTCTGAATATCAATCCTTAGACGAGACTGTGAACCTTTATCAAAATGTCCTTGAACAGGTGCTAGACAAACATGCCCCACTTATTACGAAACGATTTACTGCTGAAAAGTCTGATTTTTGGGATAATAAATGTCAAATTGCTGTCAGAGAGAGGAGAAGGGCAAAACGAAAAGCCAAAAAGTATCCAGAGAATGATGAGTTTAAAACTACTCATTTTGAAAAATGTGTTGACGCAGAAATCACTATCAATCGAGCTAGGGATGGCTACTATGATAAACAGCTCAGTTCTTGCAAAGGAGACTCGAAAGGGACCTATAAAGTCATAAATAAACTTTTAGATAAGGAATATGGCTCCAGCAAATTGCCAAATGGTGAAGATATCGAAGTGGCTGCCAAACTCAAGACTTTCTTCGATCAAAAAGTAAAGACCATTTACTCTAATATTGAGAAGGAAATTCAAAACACTTCCCTAAACGGTCAAGGTACCAAGGACTCTACTTCGATAGATAATGCAAAGTGTAGACTTAATCAGTTTAAGGAAGTCTCATTATCAGACCTTGAAACCTTAATTAAGAGTCTTCCCAATAAATCAAGCGTACTCGATGTCATACCAATGTGGCTCTTCAAGAACTGCTTACCCGAGCTTCTCCCAATCATCCATTACATCGTGAATGAATCACTAAGAGTCGGAAAGTTTCCATCTGCCCTAAAAGAAGCATCTATTAGGCCTGGACTCAAGAAACCTACCTTAGATGTTGATGAGCTGAAAAACTATCGACCGATTAGCAATCTAACTTATCTGTCCAAAATACTAGAAAAAGTAGTTCATTGCCAATTAAATGAATATGCTGATGTCAACAACCTGTTTTCCCCATATCAATCAGGCTATAGAAAATTCCATAGTTGTGAAACTGCAGTTACCAAAATACATAATGATATTCTAATGATGATTGACAGCAAATCGAATTTTGTGCTTCTACTCTTAGATCTATCAGCTGCTTTCGACACCATAAACCATAACCTCCTTCTTACGAAACTCAAGAATGCGTATGGTATTACAGAACTAGCACTCAGCTGGTTACAATGTTACCTTAATAATCGCACATTCAAGGTTAAAGTAAAAAAAGCCACATCTTCTGAAGGCTATCTGGATATTGGTGTACCTCAAGGATCCATTTTAGGACCACTACTGTTCATATTGTATACCAGAGATCTTGAAGAAATTGTCACAAAATATGGTTTCTCGATACATTTGTATGCAGATGACACACAGGTGTACTTTACTTTTGATGTTCACAGTTCTAATCCTGATTTAACAGCTGTGAAAAATTGCTTTCTGGAGATAAAGCAATGGATGACAGTTAACTTCCTAAAACTGAATGATGAAAAAACAGAGTTCATTGATATAGGACCATATGTCAGCCCAATCCAGACAATGGATTTAGGAGACCTCTCAATCTGCCCTGTTAGCAAGGCCAAGAACCTGGGATTCCTTTTCGATCACCAAATGAATCTGGACTCTCAAATAAATGCTGTCTCCAAAGTATGTTATTTGAATCAAAGGGACTTAGCAAGAATCGGTTCGAAGCTTTCCCATGACCTAAAAGTTCAGCTAGTTCACTCCAATATCCTCTGTTTCATAGACTACTGCAACTCAGTCTATTATGGACTAACAGAAAAGAATCTTCATAAGCTACAAAAGATACAGAACAATGCTGCTAGATTTATCTTTGGTCTTTACGGAAAAAAGATACGTGAACCTATCATGCCTTACCTCAAAAAGCTCCACTTTCTGCCTGTTCAGTTCAGAATTAAGTTCAAAATATCACTTCTGGTCTTCAAGTGTCTTAATAACATAGCCCCTCAGTACTTACAAGGACACGTCAATCTAAGGGAAGTACGAAGACAAAGTTCCAGACTAGATGATGACTTTTATTTGTTGAAAGTTCCTCCTGCTCCTCATTTCAGACGAACAGATGCTGCATTTATGTTTTGTGGACCAAAAATTTGGAATGAACTACCCTACTCAGTGAGATCATTATCATCTGTAGAATGTTTTAAAAATGCCCTAAAGACGTTTTATTTCCAACTAGCTTTTGATAATATTTCTAATATTTGTCCATAATGTCTGAACTGATATGAAAGTGCATAATTTTGGTAACTTCATACAAATATTTGTTCATAAAATCTGAACTGTTTAAAAAGTCCATAATCTTGCTATTTCAACACTAAGTCTCGCTTGAATGACTTTAATGTACATCTTTGTTGGGTATATTTTAATGTCGAAGCGTGTAATAAATGTTAGAATTTATTTATTTATTTATTACCAGTTACAAAATTTGTAATGTGGTATTAAAATATAATCTTATGATGTTAGATCTAAAATAATAGTTAATAATATTAAATAATAGTCAATAATATTAACAAAATACATGTATATTCAATAAATAGTAAAAAAGGACAACTTTTGATGAAATGAGGTATTTATTTATATCCCGCTCATATTATTAAATATTATTACAAGTGTAAACTGTAAATTTGAGTATTTTATTTTAGTAGAAGCCGTACACTTGCACTGGTTAATGAAAAACCAAAACATTAAATCTTACTATCTTACTATATATAAAGCGAGACGATATATATATATCTGTGCCATTTTACTGACACCACGGCATCAACTTTAACGCAACTTTCCGCAAAAACCGTAAAAGATATACAACTGAAACTTTTTTGACTGGGTCAAATGCTTTAAAGGCCTTCAAATCAGCATGAAAAAATAAAAAATTGGCCAAGGAATAATAATTTTAGTGCCCAAAATTTGGACTCCCAAGTGGTGTCAAAAACGCGAATTAAATAGGTAATAATTATTTTAGTCTCTCGAGTCTTGACACCACTTTAGGGTTAGACGGGTTCCTGCTAGTATATATAAAGCGAGACGTATATATATATATGTTTATATATCCGTACCATTTTACTGACACCACATCATCAACTTTAACACGACTTTCTGCAAAAACCATAAAAGATATACAACTTAAACTTTTTTGACTGGTTCAAATGGTTCAAATGCTTTAATAGCCTTCAAATCAGCACGAAAAAATAAAAAATTGGCCAAGGAATAAGAATTTTAGTGCCCAAAATTTGAACCCCCAAGTGGTGTAAAAAACGCGAATTAAATAGGTAATGATTATTTTAGTATCTTGAGTTTTGACACCACTTTAGGGTTAGACGGGTTCCTGCTAGCTGAACTAAAAAGCAGAAAAATATACAAGCCACGCTGCCCCGTGATTATATTGTCTAAAAACTCATTTTTTCATCAAACGTGACATACTGAGATGAAAATTCCATTGATTTAAGGTCCCTTGTCTTAGTGTCTTCTTCCGTACGAAGAGCAGAAAATGGGTGGTTCACAATGACAACATTTCCCGCAAATAGTTGCTCTAAGCTCTGAAAAGTAAAGGTCAGGCAAAATTATCTCAGAAAAGGGAATTGAAATATTCTTGGGTAATATAATTTAGTTATAACTTTAAAGTGAAAAAGTTCAGTTTTTATTTACATATTTTCATCTCTTACATTATATATTATATTCTAAAAATAAAGGAACTTACCAGATCTTGGTAGTCACAGTTTACAGGCGTATTGATAGCACAAGAGAAACCCAACTTTCTCCTAATTAATTGGGACGTTGTATCGTTCACATATCTCAAATTAACTAACTCTTCATCACACGGTAAAGACTTCCTGAAATTTATCATTTTAATTCTCCTGGTGATGATAAGCAAGTTTCTGGTGACACAAAAATCATTACTACCAAATCCTTGAGTAACAGTTCAAGGTATTGTGCACTTATCAGGCGATCACAGGTACTTGTTGATCCAGCCGGATCTTACTAAGTTACAAAACCCAGAGACTTCTGTCTTCTGGAAGAGTTACTAAGATACCAGTTACACTACCAAACCAATAATCATAACTTTGTACACTCTAATTTATTTTGTAAACCTTAGTTCAACTAATTTAATATTAAACTTACATTAGTTGCAAAGTAGAAGCAGATGGGTCTCTCTGATCGAGATTTACAGATAGAATAAAAGCAGGATGAAGTAGAGATTGCAGAGTCCAGTGGCTGACTAGTGAGGGGTACTCCACTACATATAGATCGCTAATAGTGGGGGTGGCTGATCTAGCTTCCACCAGAATGCGGAGTTTAGCAGGGGTTGGAATGTTATCTTGTATAGCTTCTCCCAAACCTCTTAAATCATCTTGTGAGGTTCTCCTGTCTATCACCACTTCGATCCAACCTAGGAATTTTAGGTGAAATATTGCAGACACCTACCTTGAAGCAATAGAGTAGTTTGAATTATAATAAATAAATAATCAATTGTGTTCTGAAAACTACCTGAGCTGTTTACTGATGAAAGTCGGGCGGCGATATCCAATGAAAAAACTTTAAAACATTGAAGTATATAACACTCAGCTAAAATATTGAGATAACTTACCTTGAGCTAAGGAAGCAGCCCCATGAGGTTCTGATCCCAGAAGAGACAGCCGAGTCGATGAATCTTGGATAAAAGCGGTGGAGGGCATTGGAAAGAAGTTCCCTTGTGTATGAAGCTTACTTTTATACTTGTGTTGTTGGATAGTGTGACCGTTTAGGTCAGTGAAAATGGTGTCTCCGCTCTTAATATCTGTTTTTAATCTGATTGATAGATCGCCACTATCCCTTAGATTAGACATTATATTCAGGTCCACAAACTCTCCCTCCAACCCTTATAGTGAAGGAAGTTAATTAGCAACTGATTCTAAAACTAATCATTCTGTTCATAAGTAGATCACAAAATTGCGAAAGAGGGCAAAGCAAAATAAAGTGAATATCAGATACATCTTGTTTTCCAAAAAGAAACAGTAAATAACGAATTCCTCACCCGGATGATGATGCACAATATAAGTTAGGACTAGTACACTGTTTAGGATCCTGAGGGTAACGACTGCTTTGTCCCTCAGAGATCCCTTTATGACGACTATCTCTGGTCGTGATGACTCAGTGACTGGTGGAAGTGAGTAAATAGATGTTAACGCAGATTAGATGCTTTCAAATTAGGGAACATGATGTGTTGAAAGTTGTATAAGATTTAAATATCCGAATGTTGACAGATAAGTAAACTCACAGAGAAGTGTAGGAGAGCCGCTAGGTCTAAACAAGTAAGCTCCACTTCTTCCTTTGTACAGTAATACTTGTTGTTCTATTTCCACACTTGTTCCTTCCTTCTTTATTCTCTTCACACGACCTTGCATGTTGTTAAATTAATTACTATTTACTTGTTATAATATGTACCATCTTGATAACAGAGGTGGATTATAAAATAGTATTTTAACTAAACGTGTTGATCTTGTTAGTTGTTACAAATACTCCCAACGTAATATTAATCAATAATAATAAAACCAAACAATTAAAATACATACACAACCTCATGGGAAAATATAATATATATTTTATTAGCATAATACATTAATACATACATTAATACAGTGAAACCTCTATTATATACCGGTCCGGCTACCTGATCTACAATCCAAGATTAAAGCAAGCCTATCTCCTCCAAGCGAGATATCATCGCATGCTGAATCATGAGATAACACTGTAAATGAGTCTCGACTGGAAATCTCCGCTGCTTTCTCACCAGGGTTGTAAAATTGGACATTAGCTCTATCTTTTTCTTTGTCTTTTTCAGAGCTTGTTACTTCGAACCTGGATATCAATGATAATTATTTATTTAAGAATCCTTATCTCTCAAATTGTTTACCGGATAAAAGTGTGCTACCAACCGTAGAAAAGGGTTATCATAGGAGATTATTATCACTTAAAAATCAAATATGATTATGATGCCTCCTATAAAGGGTGACCCCATTCTCGTGGCATTTAAACATTAAACATTTCCATTCGCCTAATATACAAGTGGAAGAACCCAGCACTATTAACAAATTACTTCTCTACTTACTTATTGATAGAAACTGATGGGAGCTCAGTCCGGAATACAATGAACTCGGAGTTGGGATCTAGTGTACCGTACTCAATAGCTGGTTCAATCTGCTGAAGTACAACTCCTCCCCCAGTACTTTCCACCTGTAATCAGGACAAATTATAGCATGTAAAATGCAGATCTCATAGCTTGTTGAAGCACACTAGTCTTTGATAATATGTACCAAACATGAAACTTATAGTTGGATAGATCCGTAGTATCACTTTGTAGCTATTGGAGACCTCGCAAATTATCACTTGAATATATTAATGTTGAAGTTGAACTTGCCTCCAAATTGAGATGTGATTTGACTGCGATGATTTGAGCTGAATCGGTTTTTCTTGGTATCGTACTGGTTATAACAAGCCCAACTGGTGCTTCTAAAACCCGGAACTTTTCAAGATCTTCATATCCCGCTCTCTGCCGGATTGGCTGGAACTGTTCTCCTATTGTCCTTTTTGTCTCCAGAATATGTTGAACGGCTGATGTGGACAACTCTATACATGTTTTAAACGCGTTTAACAACCTGAGAAATGCCTGACTGTAATGCCTGGTTGTAACGCTTGGTTGTAATGCTTGGTTGTAACGCTTGGTTGTAATGCCTGGTTGTAACGCCTGGTTTAGGGCCTGGTTGTAACCAATAGTTTTGACTGAGACCTCAATACAAATGGCTTCAAATTTAAACATTCTCAGAATTTATATAATTTGATATAAAACGGCAGAAAACCAGAAAAATCAACCTATACTGCATACATTCTAGCATAGTCCAAGACAACATGATGCTTTGCAGTCCCAGTGATAGCATCATGATGCTGGAATAAAGACAGAGTGTTCCTAGCTTTAGTCAGTTTCTCAACATCCCCCTTTTCTCTGTGGAATGAGAAGAGGATCTCAGTTCTCCTGATGGAAGATTCTAGAACTCTGTCCAGGTTCTTGAAGAAGGGGCGTGTGGTATAGTACCCGCTCCAATACTCGTCCAGTCTATCAGCGTACGTGAAGAAGTCACCACTTAGACTCGGAAAGTTGACATTTGACTTCTTTATTTTGTCAAAGTAGTCGCTGATAGTCCCCCATTTAACTCGGGTGTTGAGCTCTGGATGACTATTAATGTACTCCATCATTGGCTGAAGTTGTGGTTATCTAGTGCTACTGTCCAATTAAATAATTAAAACAAATAGTTTGATTGATATATTAGTAAAAATAGAGTTATAAATATCAAATTGATAACATTATCATAAATTGTTTTTTTTGGCATACATGGCTTGCGAAGAGTGAAGACCCGTGATCAAAATCGAAAACAATTACAGTAAAGTGAATGAAGATAAATTACCTTATAGTTGCTATAGATAACTTCCAAGGATTCTTTGTAGATGTAAGAGAAATCAAATCCAGTTTCAATAAACACAGCATTAGAAGAGTGCAACGCCGCTTTTTTACGCCACTGATCAAGAATCTTCAATGACCTAAAAAGCGTTTTTTCAAAAACTTATTTTCAGTTTATCAATTATCATGATCTTGGAAATTATTAAGAAATTTTGAAAAACTCGTAAAATATTTCGCACTAATTGATTTACCTCTCTTTTACGTTAGAAGGAGTAGTTTTCACAAGATTTGGATCTTTTCCAAACTTTGGGTTTGTGAACGCAGCAAAGTGATAATGTAAACAAATCTGCATAATATTGTGGATTATGAAATAATCTGGGAGAGCAAAAACTTCTTAAATAATATGAGAATTTCCGACTTAACCAACTTATTAATGCTATAATCCGGACAATTTATCTTTTATTACCATCACTGATGCTCCGATTTACGTGTAACTCAACGGAAATGAATCGACAAAAACAATAAGTTAGACTAATGACATGTTTTGATGAGATTTAAAAGAAAACTAACATCCGGATCCGGACCACAAGTTGACTGAGAATTATAACCTCCGAAAGGACCAAGCTGGGTTAGAATATCAGTATCACCATCGGGATCTGAACATATTGCGGATCAATAATAAATACAGATTTGTTTCCGTATCAGTCATATTTAAGGGTATTTACATAGAGTCAAAAGTTGCATTCCTGAATATGTACTTTGTAGTTTGTATTGCAATCACTAGAACACCCCATGTTAGGAATACAAGTAGAAATGTTCAATTTGGTTAAAAGTAATCACCCCAAGACTGTCGCCATCTGAACTCTATTTTTCTGTTCAGAGCTAAGTGCTTCTTGATTGTATAGTGCACTCTCTGAAAAAATATAGTTAGCTTGGGAGGTTACCACTGAAACAAATCGCTAAGACGGGTGCTTTTTTTCTTCCAAATGAAATAAGAAATGTAATAAACAGCATTATATAACCTGTATGTGCATGGCATTAAATCCAAACATAGAGTTGACTTGTGCCATGAATGGCGACAGTCCGAATGGATCAATAGCCCACCCAACATTAGGTACAGCATCTGGAAGATTCTTCTTCAACCACTCGTGCCCGTCCATCATTTGGTTCAAGATGGCGAAGTAGTGTGTGTTAGCCTCATCATTCATAACCCAACCTCCCTGGACAAACTCGAACCTGCCCTCACGAGCAAGTCTGGCCATGTCCTGTCTAACTTTATCAGTCTGCTCCTCCCACCACAGCTTAAAAAAAGAGACCTGCAAATGGAAATTACTTAGGTCGGGTGACCACTAAGCGGGGTTTCTTGATTTTTATTATTTCTCGACTTAATATCTTTATTCTTTAATTGTTGTGCAGAACACGAAAAGTTGCAAAAGTCAACAAAACCATGACAAGCTTTATTATACTAAATACAACAAAATACAATAATGGTATACATTAATTGACATGGTAGTTGATTCTAAAAAATATATAATGTTGTTGAAGAAACCTCTGCGTAGATGTATTTGAAGTCCTCGTGCTCCAAAGTAAACTGATACATGTTTGTTAAGAGCGGCTTAACATCTCTCTCATAGTAATGGTCATACGTCTCTTTCCACCCTGAATAAGAAAGAAAATAAGACTTATAATCTACAACGATAACATAAGTACAGTAATCGCAAATAAAGAGTTCAATCTAAAACATAATAACTTTTAAAGTAAATTTTTCTTCGCAGCTTACCGTACTGTGTAATTGTAATATGAAGCGAAACTAACATCCCCCTCCCAACAAACCTGGATCACAATGTGAGTGGGGCACTAGAAATACAGTCAATTCTTCAGAGGTTGGTAAAGGTTTAAGATTACCATTATACTGTCCGTGATCTAAAGGGGAAAAAGCAAGTTAGTGAATAGTGAAGCTCCATTTTCAGATAACAATATTATAAGGATACATCACAGGAAAACGACCAGTTGAAACATTCTCAATCGCCCTGTTTAAGATTGGTTACTGTACCTGTGTTTTCAGATTGAAATGGGAGATTTTCCACTAAATCTGACACCTGCAAATAATTTGTTTATCTTATATTACTATATCTTTAAACTATATATAATATAAAGCTCCATTGTGATGTATTGTATATAATATAATAAATAATTTACTAAAAGTCTAAAGAAACCCCTCTCTCCACTGACCTGTAAATCAGCTCCATTGTGATGTATTCCTTTACTGATGGAGCATCTAGCAAGGTAGTTGTCAGGTTCCACTTTAATGTGATGGTCTGATAAAGGAAGCCCATCTTCAACTACAATATTTATTGCTGTAGAAGAATTTGCAAGATGGTTGCTTTGATCGGGATTCAGACTGCCATTCAGTGGATTTCCGTTCGTTACCTCTGGGGGTCCACTTTCCGATTCCTCCTGTGGCATTGAATTATATTCTTTTCACTGGAGTCAAGAAGCCACGGAAAAACACTTCGACTGCCTTTCAGTGTTAATCAATGCCCTGAGATCGTACTGCATGGCCACTTTCTACAACAGACAGATTAACAGCCAGATTTAATCTTTTCAGCTACTAGGTTAAAAATCACAAAAAATCTGTTCAGCTTGACCTGTTCAAATCAGCAATTTACTAAGATTTGAACAGAATTTAGGCATCAATTTGCTAACAAATTCGAAAAAATGTGATTTTCTTGTTGCAAACTCTTACCCATTCAAAAAGTTTAACAATATCACAGCTTCTAACCTGAAAAGTGGTTGCAGGGCGTTCTTCTGCTGAGAATTGTTGTATAGCATTTTTGAACTGACTTGAAATCGAACTTTCTTCCTTAAGTCCTTTAGAGATAACCTGAAGAATAAAAAATATTCCATTAAAACATCTTGTCTGCTATGATGTTGATAGACAAGTATCTTAAAGTCACTAAGATATAAACCAAGTTATTGTTCCTGTTACTTTCGAAAAGTATGGAATAATGAAGAAGCAAAGAAGCCTGGTTAATTGTTATAGATATTGCTTGTATGTCAGAGTGTGAAGGATGAAGCATGTGTTTGATACAGAACCATCTAGTAGTAACCTCAGATATGTAAACACCTTATTTTTGAAAATGAGGAAATCAAGTATGAGAAATATATTATTTCTAACTTAAAGATTAATTTTAGATCATTCTATTCATATGTCTACTGTCTATGTAAAAGTTGAAGCCTTTTACAGTTTGTTGGATCTTATGTTTTAGAATTTTTAGGAGACCTCATTTCGAAGCACCAACATGGTTTTGTTAGAGTTAAATCTTGCTTGTCAAATCTTTTAGAGACATTTTACACTACACTGTATATTTGATTTAGGACAATCCTCCTGTTGACTTATTTTATTTTGACTTTGGTAAACCATTTGATTCAATTATCTCACGAAATTGATAGAGCTGGAGAAGTCAACATATTGTAATAAGTAATAACCCGAACTTTAGATCTTACAATATCATGAACTAGGTACAGTGTCTCAGGATCTATAACCAAGGCCAAGGTGTCAGGAGATACTTCAAGGTCACAAAACTGAGCGAAAATGTTCATATAAAATAGTTATTTATCTTTGGAGGTAGCAAGATTGTTGCAGTTAGACTGTTCGTTTTTAGCTGGATGGATAACCACAACAATTCTCTACAAGATGCACACTTGAATATATTACTGTGTGATTGTCAACTACACCTACAAGCAGTAGCATCCTGAATACCTGCTTGCGTCCAGGGAGTGATTATGGTTGGGGCATACAAGCATTTGCAAATTTAGTATGTTCTGAATCTGTACGCTTAACCAATGAAAAAAATGAATCATACAGTAATTTCTTGTATTTTATTGTAATCATTATGCAATATTACTTTCAGCATATACATATGTTAGACATAATTTTCTTACTTACGGGGTTTACTGATGTGTATCTATGATATATGGTAAGAATCACAAGTGTGAGAACGATGCCTAAACAAGCTGTCTTTCGCATCCTGCACATCCTCATTTTACATGATCGACTTCTAACTGAAGATTTTTGTCAAAAATGATGTTATAGCAAACAAATTAAGTTATAACCACTACCAGTGGCGTAACAAATGCTAAGGGAGGGCAGCGCCGGGGTTGGTTGGTTGTGTTAAATGGTAATGTTTTATCACTGGCAACTACATGATAACTTTTTCATTACACTTTTGACAACAGAATAGTAATACTACTTACAACAGAATGAAATTATTTAAAACAAAGTTGCTAATCTGTGTACTAATGCGAAATTACTAAATGATTGTGATTGAGGGTTAGACAATTATTAGAATTAGAATTAGAATCAAATTTACACAGCAATACAATAAGAATAAAAAATAATTTAAGAAGCTTCAATCTGCTGTGCAGGACATTCAAGTCAGTCGAAAACTGTTAGCAGAACACCATTCTAGGGACCAAGTCGAAAGATCTATAATCTTTTAAAGGTACCTTTCAGTACATACTTTTTAAGGGTACCTTCCAGTACATACTTTGGAATTCGCAAGAAGCTTCCATATCAGCTCCAGCTACTACAAAATGCTGTTGCCAAAGCTGTTAATAGGCAATATAAACATGACCATCTTGAGGATGAACTGATCAATCTTTAGCGGTTGGATATAAAGAAAAGGATTGCATTCAAAATCTGACTACTATCTCACGAATCCTTACTAGGATTGGCTCCAACTTATCTGCAAGACATGTTCAGATCTAAGTTTGGTGTGGGTAGCTTCTCTGTAGTAGCTCCTAAGATGTACAATCAATTTGCTCAATCTCTGGAATCTTTTAAAGCTCTTCTAAAAACTGTCCTATTTAGACTGTTCTTTCATGAAGTTGTGAAACTTTATCGAAAAACTATTAAAGTCATATTTGGTGTAAGATCTTCAATTTTTAAATACAACCTCCTTGAATATTTCGAAATGGCCACAACTCATTTCAATATTTTAGTTTCCCTAATTTCTCTAACGGTGTAATCGTAAAGGATCAATTAAACCAATTCAGTACCAACAAACCACAATAAACTATGTAGAAGATAAAAAGTACGTTAGAAGTAAGCATATGATAAAAACAATGGGAAATAATATGAATGATTACTCCACATCAATGAGAATACATGAAAACATAGTTAGAAATAAAATTACACATCAAAAAGATTACCAAATAGAGCGAAAAGGAGTTTTGAAATGCAACAATAACACTTAAAAACTATTATGCTAGATATTCTTGTGAAAATATAACAGTATTTCCTTTAGCGCTCGATTTTCATACTACGGTGTAAATTTTCGAAAATATGCGCGGCGCGCCTAAAATTTTGCAGGTTCCATTAATAATTAATTTTTTAGTCAGTATTATATTTAATATATTTGAATACGGCCAGGTAGCGCAGTTGGTTAGAACGCCTGTCTTACAATCGTTAGGTTGCGAGTTCGAATCCCACTGACTGCCTGGTCGTGGGGTGAGCGTCGTCGACGTTCAGCTAAGGATCATGAGTGGTCTATGCAGCCCCCGGTGATCTACTCAGCCGAATACTCGAGAAATCGGGTGTGAGGGTTGAATGAGGAGCTGCACATTGCAGCAAAGTCTCGGACGAAGAAAGTATGGTACACACTACCTTAACCGTCACTGGCCAAAAAGATCCTTCGGCTTCCTGTAATTGGCTGGTTGCACTTGTTAACATTGTGGCACTTGTTAACATTGTGTAACATTGTGGCTGTTGGAATACACCGAAGTAAAATAAGTGTCTAGATAAAAATTTAAAAAAATTAGTCGTTACTACAAAATTTATTGGAAAAAAATCAAAATATAGCACCTAAATACCAAAAATGAAGCGCGCGCAAGAAAGTCCGGCCTGAAATAACAGCTTAATTTTGATGACAGTTTAGATTTGAACTTGGAGCCACAAGGCCAAGGGTGATTTTCAAAATATTGAGTTTTGAAGGGTTATTTTTATATAGGGTCATTGTGACATTATGTGTATACTGTTTGAAACAATTTATTATTGAAAAAATATGTATTATTTTAATGCAATCATGTGCGGCTGTGTTTTAATTGACGATGTCAATTCATGGCAGCTCGGCGCGGCACAGTAGCGCATATCATCTAGCCAGTCGCTGTGAGAAGCCTTATTGAGTGCGCGGCGCGGCACAGTAACGCATCGCGCTACAAGGCTGTGTTTAAACTATCTTTATGCAAATTTTGTTGACATGCCAACAAAGTCAACTCGCTCAAAATATCAAAATACATGGTTTTTTAGCATATTTTTGGCTCTAAAATCGGAGAAACTCAGTTCAATCAGAAAATGCCCGTAAAAGCCTTTACTATTGTGTGTTAAATTCTATTAACCATTTCAATTGCATTTATTATTACTAAAGGATCAATGTGTTACGTTAAAATTATTTGAGCTAGCCTGTAAATAATTTTTAATTTTAGACAATAATTTTAACCAAGTTTTTGGAATTCAGAGTAAAATCGCGCACTGCATTGTGTGAGTGTATATTCAGTATTGATTCAAATAAATATTTTTTATGGTTTGCATGTGATGGTATTGGACATGAATCATTTTTCATCGGGTCAAATGGTTGGGGAGTTGGGGCTGTAAACAAAGTTTGTGAGTAAAACAAAGTATTTTAGTAAAACAAAGTATTTTATTTATTAGCAGTGCAATCAATTCATATGATATAATTATAAGAATATAATAGTATGTCACACCTATTCAACTGTTACTTTTGAGTAGTCGTGCCTTGGCTAAATCTAACTAGGACCAGTGGTGTCGATTAACATTTAATAGGTGAGTCTAAGTGACACAAATTGAAAATTTTAAGAAAAGACGGATCAAAACACAGATCCAAGGACAAGGAGACCCCACTGCTATTGGCTTGTGCATGGCCCAAAAAGGTTCCAGTTGTCCAGGAAACTGTACGTAGCTGGTCAACTAGTTTTGAATTCAGACTAGGCTTGATTTGTTCTGGGGTTTCTAGAGGTAAGATTTGATGGTGCCAGGTTTGTTCAGGCGGACATGGAAATTATGCGATGGATATATAGGTATATAAAAATCATATCAATATAAAAATAGATCCAAAAATAGATTCACACGGCAGTCAGGGAACTTCCAGACAGGATGCTTTTGAAACAGGTATAATTAGCGCTTTTGTAATTAATTGTATGCAAGGGATGGGATGCTGATCAACTAAGCTGGTTCAATGCCCCAGCTATTTAGGGGGAGCCACTCAATTTCACGCCCAGGTGTTGTCAATTGCTGGGTTTCCAGTAACAGCTTTTTGATACTGCTCTTGATAATTGAGATGGGGGAGGAAAGGTCGGAAAATTTACTAGAGCCAGGGACCATGACATTGTTTTCATTAGGAGTGCATTTGTCGAATATTTTATCAATCAAACTGTTCCACATAGTCGTACCTTTGATGACAAAATTGTGTTTAGAAATGTCAAGTTTGTGTCGGGGGACCCGCATAGTTTGGCTACATGTTCTGGAACTTGTTTGGAATAAACTTGTCAGAGAGATGGGTTGATGCAGTTTCAAGATTTTAAACAGTTCAGTGGATATATGTTGGATGTACAGGTTGTGGATTGACATGATTTTCTCGGTATTGAAAATTGGCTTAGTGTTTTCCAAAGCAAAGCTCCTTTTTGCGATGTGTTCACTGTATGGTCTTGCACGTGCACATGTTTCATAGTACTCTGCCCGGTCAAAGCTTGGTTTGCTTCCAAATAGAAGGCGTACGCATCTTTTTTGGATGGTGTGACACCACCCCAGCTACTGATACAGTAGCTCATATGAGACTTGAATAAGGAGTCATACAGTTTATGGTACTCTGTTTCTGGAATAAACTTCATAATACGTTTAATTATAGCTATACTTGTAGTTAGTTTACTTTTTATGTTATCTAGTTGGGGTTCCCAGGATAGTTCATGGTCTATGATAACACCAAGGAATCTCACTTTATCTACTCGTGTAAGTGTGGTGCCTGATAACGTGAGTGAGTTCTCAGAGCCATATTCGCGAACACGTGCACAGGACGAGTACCTGCCAGGTCTGAACAACATGTAGACCGATTTGCTTTGGTTAATGTGCAGCAAGTTAGATTCCATATAGTTATTTACAGATTCAAGTACACACAGTCTCCACTCTTTCTACTTGAGTTTGGCTGATAACAATCCAGTCATGGTCTATGATTTATCATGGACTATTTAAAGCTACTATTAAATTAGTTAGCCAGAAAATCTTTATTTTGAAGTAAATTTTTCTAGTGGCGTAACGTTGCCTGTTGGTGCCCCTACCGAAAAAGTGCCCCCTGTTGGCACCCCATCCCATCTTAAAGTAGAAACGCTCCCCCCCCTAAGATGGTGCTCCCCTCACAGTGTTAGGCCACTGCTGTGCACAGTGTAAAACCACTCTTGTGCAGATGCATGAAAAGGGTATTGAAGCTTGTTTGTTTGCATTTTGCAAACCTTAAATTTGACAGTACTTACAGAATACATACTGGGGGGGGGGGGGGCTGACCATATTAAAGCATATTAAAGTATATCCCCGCCCCTAAATCGGGAAAAAAACCTACATTTTAATATACTTAAATTGGGCATACATATTTGGGCATAAGCACCAAATTTGAAAGTTTTTGCCCCACATTCGATCAAATTACAATATTTTTGAATGAGACTAACTTTATGTGAAAAATTACTGGTTTTACTGCATATCCCACAAACACAAAATTGCACATAATATCTAGGTTTGGGATACTAGCCAAAATGACTTCATTGAAATTGAAATAACTCCATCAGTTTTCAATATTTTTCTAATTAGAATTGCATTTCATGCTTATTGTGGGTATCGATTTTTTCCCTACTCTTGCCGAAGGCAAAAAGATCGTAGGGAATAAGTAATCGGGTTTGGATATATGAGGTGGCCCGATGGACCTGCGATGACGACAAAAGTCTGCTCCTTCGCAATATAGACCACTCCCCTATAATTATGTGTATAAAAGGAGTCTATTTTGCGCGCGCGACGCCTGTTATGTGTTAATTGATTACAGGCATAGCAACCAGTTTTTGGTGCTTGACGACTGTTACACAGGTTTCCATCGGGTTACAATTCACTCTTATTCATTAATATAGCATATTAGTCATCAGAGCGGATCAATCATCAATGTAAATGTTATTTTGGTGAAACAAGCTTGATAAATTACCGAGTGATAAAATTCAGCAAGTCGAAACAAATTAAATTATGATATCAGCTGATAAACTCGTTGCTAATTACTGAACAGTTGATCGACACTTCATGGTAAAAAGCGAAAACATAGTTGACAAAAGATGTTACTTTACATTTACATTCAAGGAGCAACTAAGATCAAGATTGCGGTATGCTTTTAAAGAATCCTATATAAAATCAAAGGCTCGATAGTCGATAGTTGATGGTGCTGTAGATGTAAGCATCAAAAGCATTAGTTTATGTTAGATACAAATAATAACTAAGATGAGACAGAATAATTGATTACAGTCAATAAAGTTGGCATACGATGCAATAATATGACGTGACATGATACGCTTCGTTAACACGAAACAAAACCGCGCAAAAATGAAATGATCTACAACCAAACCACATACAGATCGACAGCGACACTTCAGATGCGCGCAGAATTTTACAAGTTCTGCACGCTTAATATGATATAAACGATTATCACGTGCGCCAAACACCACTCTGGGATACAATAAAGTAGAACAATTACATTGTAGGCAGTAGGGAAATTTGATCATGCGTGGTGTTACCGCGGCGAAATTCTTGTTGATTAAGGCCTCCATAAAGATAAAGTATATTAAAGTACATCAAAGTATATCCCGCCCCTAAATCGGGAAAAACCTACATTTTAATATATACTTTAATAATGTCAGCCCCCCCCCCCCCCCTCCCCCCCCAATACTTGACTAATGTTCTATTGACTACAATGTCTATTGATTGTACGATTACATGATTTGGTTAAAATTGAACTGAATAGTAATTGGACCAACAAATTCTATTTTACAGCTGTCCATGTTACTTGAATGAAACTCCGCTTGAATGCTAAATAGCTTGGATCCTGAACTGAAATAACACCATCACACTGATCAGTGATCCAGCCCTAGTCTGCAACTATAATCCTCTGCACAATATTATGTTTATACAGCTTTTAATTTCCCTCTCTATTTCTGCCACTACCCATACCCTTGGTTTGAATCAAACTACTACCGATAATGATAGTACAAGGAACAAGTTGCAGACTACAAATGATGATCCTGTTGATCCTGTGGTCATTGTACCAGGTAAATCTGACTTCATTCATTAGCACCTAATATTAATTTTCATATTATGGTCCAACCGCAATAATACTATACTGGAACCAATCAAAGTTTATTTACACATCAATATATAATATAAACCAGTTCTCCCAAATAGGTATCTTTGGAAGTCAGTTAGACGCACGATGGAACAAAACATCAGCTCCCCACTTGTACTGTTACAAATCTAGTCCTGCATGGACGACTTTGTGGCTGTGTTTTCAATGCATGGTTCCTAAGGTAATGCCTTTGGTTTACAGTGTGTTAGCCTTAGAGTTATTATGCATCACCTCAAATGATTTTAATATTCATTCAACTAAGAAAATCAAGTAATGTTCTATTTTCTATTACAGTAGCAAGTGTTTTTTTGTATGACATTATTTTGATATTCCTTTCAATGATTAAAAATTACTCCAGGTAATAGATTGTTGGGTTGATAACATGTTATTAAACTTCACAGAAAACACTTTTCAAAACAGAGATGGTGTTGAAACAAAAGTCAATGATTTTGGGGGTAGGTGTCTACTCTCTACAATTGGTGCCTGAACATTGCTTTGTGTATTTCTATTTAGTCCACAATTTGTGTGACAGTATTTCTAGACCGCTCATCTGTCTGCTGGTTACTCAGGAAAAAGTGAATATTTTCAGGTACTGTCGAGTTGGCAGACTGACAATTAAATTATTATACCAGTTATAAATGGTTCATATATATAAATAGGTACTGGAGGCGTTGAAAATATTGATAAAAATGGATACTACCCTTACATGAAAGCTGTAGTAGATGGTATTGCTGCTATTCCTGGATATGAGAGAGGGGTTAGTGTCTTATATTTTCAGTTCCCAGCTTTAGTTAGTTAAAGTGTACATGTGTTCAAACGAATAAAAGCATCATTAAAATACATGATTGTAGATCCTACATCCTACACATAATTCTACATTATCCTACACATTATCCTGCAACCTACGTTATCCTACAGGTTAATCTTAGAGCTGCACCCTACGACTTCCGTTATGGAGCAAATTCTCCGACGGGTCAACTATATCTTAAAAATCTACGAACACTGATAGAAGATACCTATGAGACGAACAATGGAAGACGAATAAATATCTTAGCCCATAGGTAGGTGTTTTTAAATGTAATTGAGTGAAACTAGACACAGACTACAGACTATCTGGTTCCGTTTTTATGTTTTTCCTCTAATCCGTTTGTTATATTGAACTCAGAATTTAACAAGTTTAAAGTTGAGGTTTCAAATATTCATGTAGAACCAGTATGAGTTAATTTTGATAGATTAACAATAAACGTGAATAGTAAATACTGATCGTCTTCAGTATGGGTAATCTGTACATGATACAATTCTTCAAAAGTGTAAGCTCTAGCTGGAAACACAAATACATCAAAAGATACATTGCCATATCAGGTAACTTTCACCATTTACTGGAATTAAATCAACCTATGAAATGAAAGTGCATGAGAGTAAGAAGCACAGAAAGTCGATGATATCGACGAGATGTCACATGAACAATACATCACTCCTGACTTACACCATCTAAAATAATCCAATTACAAGAAAGTAAAGTAAGTATAACACAATAACAACTAAACTTATCCAGGTGTGTTTGGAGGATCAGTAAAGTCTTTAAGAGCGCTGGTTTCTGGGGAAATAGAGTCCATTCCACGTGTGTTGGTTGATGCAAATGCAGTACGTGCTTTTCAGCGCTCCTTCCAGAGCATCTACTGGCTCCTTCCACGTAAACAGGTTTTTACTGCACCTCGTCTTACTTACAACTGGTTACACTGTACCCTTTTCTACAAAGTTGTTGGCATCTAAAATACAGGGGGGGGGGGGGGGGGGGGGGGGGGGGGCAAAAGTCAGTACCCATACATTTGAGACCTGTAACTTTGCAGATGGTATACTGCCACTATTCATTCGAGGATTCCGTCACCAATATTTGAAAATTCGATTTATGGGGCCGCACCCAATCAACATTGAATTGCTTATACTCGTGTTTGTGAAGATGTTAAAGACTCCGTTGTAACATATTGCTATAGGTCATTGAATACGGAATATAATCTGAAGAGATGGTGCAAAACGGATTTAATATGACGAAGTTATCAAGCAATTTGTTTATCTCGAACTTAGCAAAATCAATTGGGTAATCAATGATTACCCAATCACTAATCATGTGATAGCGTGCTACGACACCTTAATTGGGCTCTCTGCACGATACTCATAATGCAGATCTAGTTTCAACACAATCACCTGATCACACGTAATGAATAAACTCGTTATGCTTCATATCTCGGTCATCTGATAAGCTAGAACTCTCATTTTTTTCAGGGCGAATGTAAATTGAATAGCCAAACATAATTCAATACAATTTGGCTAGATCTGATCATTAAATCTATGAAATAAATGCAAAAATTAACCTTCATTCGAAAAAAATTAACACGAGTATTCTTTGATTTGATGTATTCTTCGAATGAGTGGTGATATTAAGTCATGCCAGAAAGAATTATCTCAATCGGGCACTCAGTGACTGAGCTATAAAGGCCAACGCATGGGTACTGACTTTTGCAAAAATTATGCAAACAATAAGCCCAATAAGAAAAAGAAACAAGTAATGTTAATCTAATGAGAATACTCCATACAGACAACCAACTACCTCGGTGTCTTTAGTCAGGTCTCGTGAGGATACATTCTGTCGACCATTTTATTAATCGTCTCCCAGCTTAAACCTTCCAGTTTCATCTTTCCTTAATATGCTTCTATCACATCGGTTATTTTCTGTTTTCTATCTCTACCTGACTCTTAAACAGTCTTTAATTTCTTTATCTTGTCTCAGTTTTTCCTTGATCAATCTTCCAGCTTTGGAATGACACGGAGCCGATAATATTTACTCCAGACAGAAACTACACAGTCCACGATTACGCAGACCTTCTGGATGATGCAGGGTAAGTTAACATAGTCTGAGAGCATGAGGAATAACTTGTCGTTTTATCGACCAACACTCGCATATTAATCAGCCCTTAGCAAGTAAACAATGTACTAAATAATGTACTAAACAATTTACTAAATAATGTACTAATAATTTACTAGATAATGTACTAAATTACGTTTCCTGTATTGATCGCTCCTCTGATACCCAGTTTTCCTGATGGACGAGAGATTTTGAAAACGTTGGAAGGATCGACTGATTTGACGGACCCTGGAGTTGATGTGTATTGTTTACACGGTAGTGAAATTCCAACTGCGGCTCAGTTTAGGTAAGTGAACTGTAGTTATCAATTATATTACCTCTTACAGTAAATTATAAAGATACCCGCTAGAAGATCATATTTCATTTGTGATGCATTCTGTGACATATTAATTACCTTACTCGCTAATATCATGGCGGGTTAAATTTTGACCGACGTAAATAAGATGAGATTGTTTATCAAAATTTGTGGCGGGCCCCCATTTCTTGCCCCCATTTGTAGCGAGCTTGCCCTCATCTATATCTTACCGTTTTAGTGGTTTAGTGTATGTGTTTGGTATGTAATGATTACGATAGTTGCTATGATGGTAAACCAATAATATTATAGCGTAAAATAAACCATCTTAAGACGTTTCAGTGTTTTTACTGAAGTTGTGGCGAATCTTGCGCCCATGTAGCATACTTGCCCCAAGCGCAGCGGTTTTTAAAGCGGTTCCGTGTATTTGTCTAGAGGAAAGTAAATAAAGGGAAGGTCTACAGAATAGAGTAAACAGTGGCCGCGAAACAAAATAATTAGATATGGTCGCGCAATAATACGCGCGCAGTGTATGTCCGGCCGTCAGTCATGTTCGCAAATTCGATAGCTAGATCGATCCATTGCATGGTTATCGATGTATTTTTGTATTTAAATAAAATCTCTAAGACATTGTTATCTCAGATGGAAGCCGAAGTATTTCCCTGACTACCAACCTAACCAAATAGACGGTCCCGGTGATGGTACTGTCAACCAACGGAGCCTGGAGCAATGTAAGAAATTCAAACGACTTAAAGACCACAAGGTTTACCCAGGAATTAAGTTTGGCGAACACATGCAAATACTGCTTAATCCTGATGTAATTCAGTACGTTAAGGATCTCATCTTGGAAACAGACGAACAGGGGAAAGTAGACCTGGTGTTTTAGATGAATCTGAGGAAACTTTAATGAACTAAAATGTAATCTCTTTTCTATGCAGTGATTTTGTTAATTTTTAGAACTGGTAATTAATTATATGGTATTTATATTTTTAGTTTCTGGGTTCTTTCTGAACAGTTTGTTTAATTTGATACTGATATTGTATGTATACGATTAGTTATTTAAAGAAAGGCGTCGCAAGAATTCTCATAGCTGATAGATTTGACTAACGTTTTTTTATAAGATTTAATCACAGAATAAAAGACGTTGCTAGGTACAGATTTTGTAACAGCTTTTGATTATGCCGTTCTGCTGCAGGCTACCGATTTCTATTTAATTGTTATTTACAGTGAATTATTTCGTAACTCTGGCGTGATTTCACTAATTATTCGATTTCTGGCTGTGTTTAACAAAACCCTTGCTTAATAACGATTAAAAATGTTAAATTATAGTTTGTAGAATAATAAATATGCCAAGTTTAGTTAATTAAAACTTACCGAGCCGTGGCCCGTCTCAACACTAAAAACTCAACTTTAACGAGGGGAATAAGTTATGATTATGCCGTTATACTGCAGGCTTCCGATTTTTATTTAATTGTTATTTACAGTGAATTATTTCGTAACTCTGGCGTGATTATTCGATTTCTGGCTGCATTTAACAAAACCCAAGCATAATTTCGATCGAAAAATCCTAAATTATAAGTTGTAGACTTCAGTTTATTTCTGTGGCATTTAAATATGTTATATTATCTTGATTTTTATCATTACTTATACAGGATGACATCACTGAGAACTGCAGCTCAACTTTTCAAGAGAGTTTTAGAAGGTTGGTGTTATTTTGATAACCTATTGCTGTATTTGAAAACGTATGATTTTCAGCCAGGAAATGTATATTGTATATGAAGATGCTCAAATTGATAATAATTTTGTTAACTGTTAATGGGTTTCAGTTACTCCAGTGTGTAGCAGAGGGTTAACATATCGACTCAGTAGTACAACCATATCACGACCCATTACTACATCGTCCCAGTCGACTGTACTTCGGCGATATAATGCTCCTGAAAACACAGCACGACAACAGTGTGCCTTCAAGAAATCTAAAGCGAATACAAAAGGCGGGAAAGGGGGAGGCGGAAAGAAGGGGAAGGGACAGCTCAGTCAACTAAATACACGATTACTGGAGAACTTCATGCCTGACCACTTGGACATGGCCGAAGTAAAGTATTATGTCGTTGTATTATAGGATGATCTATTTAGAAGCCTTGTTAATGTGACCGTGAACTGAGGCACCCAGGTTTGAAAATCACTGACTTAAATTAATATAGAGAGCACATTAGTAAACAGCAAATTTCTTCAGATAAACGGAAGAATTGTGAGTGAGATAAGCGCTTTGTCCAGAACATTAGTAGCGATCAACGTGAGCAGTAGCCCCGCTGTACTTGCAACTGTCTTCGTCCGGATTGGGGTCGAGAAAATGCCCGTAAGTAGTCTCAGTTTAGCTCAATCGGTTTTTAAAATATTTCCGATTTTAAGCAAAACTCTAAAAGCTCCACTTCATCAGACGAAAATGCGTCAAAAAAGAATCAGAAACATTTATATAATTGTGATTTTAGCATTTCAACTTTATTAATCTCAGGTAACTGATTTGTGTGATATCATAGCAGAGTACGGCAAGCCAATTATACTTGATTGTTCTGTGTACCCTGAAGCAAAAGAGAAGATTCTTGAAGCTGTAAATAAAGGTAACTAGAGTAACCAGGGTTACCACGTTATATACTTCATGACACGTGACCTTAAATACAGATTTATTAAGGGGTACTCGAGCACGATCTAGAGTTGTGTTTGACAAGATTCAAATAGAACTGTGAGCCGGAGAGATTGCTTTACATAAGTAGCCTGTCTATAATAAGCCGCTCTGTGACTATTATAACATTAATATTTCAGACACTGCATTTGACGCGGTTGTACACGGTGGTGACTCTATCAAACTTGTCTCCCCCAAACTAACGAACGATTTGAGGAAGAAACTAGTTTTGCAATCTAAAACACAAACTAATCTGGCATTAGACAGTGTCAGATCTATCAGGAACGAAGCTCACAACACAGCATTGAATGCGCGAGGCTACAGTAAGGAAGTTCAGAAGAGAGCAGCAGACAATGTGCATCAAATGTTTATACACCACAAAGCAGAGATTGACAAAGTCTTTAAAGCTAAAGAGAAGAGTTTACAAGAAGAATTTAATCTTTAGCTTTTTTGCGATATTGCTGTAGCTTTATTTATTTATTAACTTCATTGACCTTTTTTTAATTGTTTTAGAACTATATGAAAATTGGGAAGTGACAATTAAAAAATATCTGTGGCAGTTCTAGAGTTTTTATATAGTAATTTTTCACATTTTTATTGATTATATCTGATGAAAGATATTCGTACAATTTGTTGAATACTGTTTTGTGGCCAGATAACAGATTGATGTTAAGGTGATCCACCCCAATAATCAATATGTTCAAGTGCTATACAGTATACATGATTGAATATCAATTTATAATCATTGTAATAAGCGTAGGTTATTATTCAGTCAAAACGCTCAGGAAATTTCGATCCAGGAAAGCTTGTGTTTTGATTTGTACTACCGGGAGTAAATTTTTATGATTTTAAGATCCCCTTATCATAAAGCTTTTTCTAGAAATCTAGCTTCCATGTTCCAGTACCTCGATCGTGACTAGTGTCACTCACACTGACCTCACTGATTGGTCACTGATCAAAAAGGGGGGGGGGGGGGGGGGGGGGCAACCATATTAAAGTATATTAAAGTATATCCCCGGGTCAAAATCGGAAAAAATCCTACATTTTAATATACTTTAATATACCTACAATTAGAAGATTTATATTCTTCGTTAAGATTTACATGATGAACTATATTTTTCACTCAGATTCGCAAGATAAGCCTGTTTTAGGACTAGTACATGAATTTCCATCCAGATTGGTCCAAAATTGGCTGAGCTATGAGCTTTTAAAAATATGCCCATATTTGGGCATACGCTTTTGCCCAAATCCGCTTTTGACCAAATTCGATAAAATTTCAATATTTTTTAATGAGACTAAACTCAGTTTTTGTTTAATATAGTGGATACTAAGTAAAAAGACCTCCATGAACAAAATTGGGAAAATTGCACATAATATCTCGGTTCGGAATACTAGCCAAAATGACTTCATTAAAATTGAAATAACTCCATCAGTTTTCAATATTTTTTCAAGAACTTTTTGGAATAGATTAAGAATTGCATTTCAAGCTTATTTTGGGCAACAATTTTTGAAGAAGGCCTCCAAGGAGATAGGGATATATTAAAGTATATTAAAGTATATCCCCGGGTCAAAATCGGGAAAAATCCTACATTTTAATATTACGGCTGAAAAGCTTCTATCTAAAAAACTTTCAAAATGTCTTCTTCTATTCTGATGATTTTCCGTTTAATAAAGCTTTCTTTGGGAATAGAAGTTTCAGTACCTCAATCGTGTCTTGTGTCATCCTCAGTGACCTTGCTATATGATCATTCAAGAAAAATGTGGTCAAAACAGTGAAATTTGGGTCGCGGTAAGCTGAAATATGAAAATGACCGGTAGGAGGGTGGAACGTTTCACCACTGCTGTTTTACGTTAGTGCATAGATAACTACAACTATTCTGATAGTTATAAAAATAGGCGTAAGACCATCAAATTCAGTAAATTTAATAAAATTCAACATAATATGTACAATGGAATATAAATCGTGTTTAAACTGGAAAAACAAAGCGTCATCAATCGTGGTCGGGTCAATGGTTACTATTAAATTAATAAATTATTCACTCGAATCTCTTCTTTTAATTTAATTAATCAATCAAGGTCATGCGACATGCTATAACTCTATAACATATTGGAGCTTCAAAACTTGGCGAAGTATGGCTTATTTTTCGTTTTCAAAACAAATTTATCGTTAAACATTGTATTGTCTGATAGAGGCATTCTCATTCAATGCTGGTCGCGCTGCTACTTGTAGCGCGATGCACTACTGGGTCGCGCGCGCATCAAATAATGCTTCTCGCAACCACAGTAGTGTGCAAACCAACATTCGAACCACCAGCAGCTGGTGGTCAATTTCCTACGAACGCGACTTAATTTTGGTTCAGACTGGAGTCGAGCGCTACGTTATAGCTGTATATATAGCTCGTTTCACGACGAAATCTTCATTTATTGAGTTTGTCTGTCGATTATGTTGGAGTTTGTATTTTTAATTTTGTACTCGAATACTGTTAATTTATTTTTATTAAATAGTTGTTTTTCGTAACAGCACACTAGTACGTGATTCCTTTTGTTCTTCTTACATAATTAGGAAGATTTTAAACTTCAATACTATAAATAATCAAATATTTACGAACACCGATCATCGGTATGTACCCATTATGCATTATTGGTATCGAAGTCTTATGTTGAGCTGGATATCGAAAAATTTCAAAATGTAAGGCTGTAATTTTGTACTTGTTTGGGTGTAGAACTAGGACTAACAACTTGATTGCTAGGAGCTAGGAAGAGATTTTAGTAATGATGACCCTTTAAACTTAAACTATATCTCTAGTGCACTTCGATCGGTTTTCTTTTCAATTTTGATAAAACCTAGTCGTGATCTTTGTTTCAGAACTTCACTAATTTATTAAGTTTTGTAGTTTATATAGACGGAACATGAGCAGATACCATTTGATTAATTATAATATATCCGATTTGAAATATTATTCTGTCGGAGTTTGAGTTCAACATGGACACATTTATTAACATCCCGCATGAATTTGTGTCGTCTTTACAATTTTTTCCGCTGAATTTGTATGCTTATTAATACTGCCGCATGATATCAGTAGCTGCTATAAAACTAGAGTGTATAGCATGTGTATTATACGATGTTTCCCACGTAAAAATCGCAGGTTGTTTTGGTGCGGCTGGGCACTCTACTGGTGATTGACACCAGAGACTGAGAAAAACTTTGACATAATTTTCAAGTTTGATATGACCTAATAACTACCACATTTACAGGAAGTATGGTAATACATTCTTGTCAGCTGTCTGGGCAAATCTTCTCTCGCAGAATTGGATTAAAATTTAATGTATTTTATTTCTCACTTCCAACGATGTCGCAATTATTAGGTAAAATTTGAAGTTATTTTGAGATTCAATTAATAAATTTTAGATTGCAGCTTGATATCACTTAGTATGTACATTGTACTCGGTTGCAAGGGTAGAACTTATGAGAATACTATCATAGTATTATTGCACTATACTATTATGGGTTCATCAAAGTTCGTATCATGATTTGTCACAATTAAACCATCGAGTCACTTGAGGAAACCCGTTAAAGCTCGCAATTGGCGACGAGATAAAGTTTGTGGTACCTCTAGATGTTAAGTTAACTCTTAGGCTCCAATCTTCCTTACTATACCTACCACTCCTTCTTCCTTGATAAGAAGTAGATCCATCTGGAACAGTGAGCTGCTTCTTCCCTTCTATCCCGTACTAGCCTACTCAGCTCTCTCCAAACCGTGAACAACTACTCCCGGTGCTAGAACTTTAACCGCATAATTATAACAGCACACTTCTTTC